TTTCTACGGATCTCCGTATTTTGGATCTTATCACGTAGGGAAACACCGAGCATAGCCCTCTCCATAGTACGCTGCGCGACTCTGAGTTGTGTTATGAGGCCGACATTCAGACCTGTACAATACAAACAAACAAACGTAATTCTTCCTCTTTATAATATTACGGCAGATAAAAAAGGGGACTGATAAAAAAGTAGAATGATAGAAACATTTTAAAACGAAAATGCAGTAATTTTGTATGAACAAGAACGACCATAAAAAATATATAAAATCAGGAAACAATATCGATAAAAAATGTGTTATTGATTCGAATTGTATCTTTGTCTTGCATTCGTGTAGGCGTCAAGGCTTTCTTTTGACATAAAAACTTGGAACTCCCTATTATGGAATCATTCGATTCGCGTCCAGCTTTCATTATCTACTGATTTTTAATTTGACACCGCACATTTCTGAATTGTTTTATTATGATAAGCACAATATAATTTTATTATCACATTGACACGCAAAAAAACTTTCTGTGCTGTCTGCTATGCATCTGTATAACATTAGCCTATTGATGTGCCCGGTATTTTATAGATTTGCAACCCCCCCCCCCCCCCCCCCTAGAATAAGTAAATCAGATCAAAGTCTTTATATGGTTTCTGGCGCCCCGGGCCATGGCCCTCTTGACCCTAAGGTAAATATGCACCCTACCTATTGCTAAAGCACTGGCTATCCCTTAGATGGCAATGAATAGCTAGTTCGTTGACTGTTGGTTTTCGAAGTGAAACTTCTTTACGCACGCTTGACATGGGGGGTAAGCTTGCGAATGCGTTACGCGTTACGAAAAGTGTGTTCGGGCGAGGCGAACGGGAGTTGAGTAGGGGATATATATGGCGTTTTTTTACATGCATTTACATTATTTGATTTGTATATCACATTTTTGTTTCTTAGGTTTTTACGCACTCATTAAATAAAACAAGTTTTAACGGTATAGATGCACTGATTATCTATTATATCTAATCTATAATATAAAAATGAATCGCCGAATTGCTAAGCGCAAATCTCGAGAACAGCAGAACCGATTTCGATAATTCTTTTTATAGAATATTCTTTAAAGTACGAGGATAGTTCTTACGCAGAGAAAATTTATAAAAAATGCCTGAAAAATTCCAAAAACAACACTTTTCTATACTCCAATACCGACGATTCGTAATAATTAAGTCAATTTGAACTTTAATACCATACCATAAATGTTAGTGAGAGAGAAGTTCGGGGAAAGCAAAACAATTGAGTGACGTGATGTCAATAGAATTTTAGAAAAGGCAAATATACCATTTTCAGTATTTTTATAATTATGTGAAGAGTCATTTTCTGATGAAATGAGCAGCTCGATGGCGCAAGTGGTTAGCGCGTTCCGTTGAGATCGTTGAATTTAAGCAACTTTCGCAGTGGTCGGTCATTGGATGGGTGACCGAAAATTTACTATCTCGAGCTCCTCCGTGCTTCGGAAGGCACGCTAAGCCGTTGGTCCCGGCTGCATCTGCAGTCGTTAGCATCCACCAACCCGCAATGGGCCCGCGTGGTGGGTCATGGCCCAATCTCCCTATTCCATCCATAGGGAAAGCCTGTGCCCCAGTAAAGGGGATATTAATGGGCTGATGATGATGAAGAGTCATTTTCTAGATAGATAGAGCTAGAGGATGCCGAAGAATACGTCGCTTCTAAGTTACAGTTCTTATCATCGAATGATATTGCACATTGGCTAATTGGCAAGAGCATATCAGCATTATCGAAATTTCGATAATCGAAAAGGGCAGTGAAATATTTCAAAACAAGGACGAACCTTTTGAATCTGTAGAACGACCAGGTGAAAGCACTAAGGGCACACATCGTTGTTTAAATTTGCCGTGGTTTTACTCGCATTTAAACGAGACTAAATATTTAAGGAAATGGATGCTATACTCACCATCAACAAAGAAATTATATTATTACCATCGGAGGAGACGATCACACTAAATTTTTTTTTCTGATTTTTGTCAGAGGTGGAAATTAAATCCAAGAATTTCACAGCATGAATCGTCTCATAAACATCTATCAAACTTAGGAAAATTTGAAACGTTGAAAATAGGCTTGAAACTTAATAAAACCATTGATAGAGACAACTTGAAGATTATTAACGATGAAACTAAGAAATGGAAAAACATTTTACATCGCCTTTTAGATGTAACGCTATTCTTAGCGCAACAAAAGCTTGGCTTCCGAGGCCACCGTGAAGATGTTTCTTCGGAAAACAGGGGAATTTTTCTAGAATTAGTACAACTATTAGCGAAATATTATCAAGTATTGAAAGAGCATTGCTTAAAACTAGAAGAGGCTGCTGGTGGGTCAAAGAAAGTACCATCTTATTTGTCAAAAGGAATACAAAATGAATTTATTAAATTTTTGGGTGATCATGTAAGGCAAAAAATTATTGCAGATATTAAAAAGGCGCTAAGTATTACGGAATTTTTGACAGCACTGCTGACGTAAGTAAAATAGACCCAATGAGTCAAATCATTAGATTCGTTCATATAGAGAATGACATTGTGGAAGTACAAGAATCTTTCATGGGTTTTTCATGTCTGGCAATCTGCTGAGGATATCTCAAAAGACATTCAGAAACAGCTGGAAAAAGATGAACTGCATATTGCGTTGTGCAGAGCTCAAGATTATGATAATGCCGCGTCAATGTTACCTTGTATATTGCTTAAACTTCAATACTCCTTTTTTTTGTCGATTTATTGGTATTTTATTTTTCTCACCCAGCCTAAGGCTAGAGAAAATTTCGACACGGTCGTCAGTACCCTTAGTACGAGTTTTACAATTACGAAAACTATGATAGTTTTCGTGAGCTCGTACTCGTGTCAAGGGTACTGAATTTATTGTTTTCGTTTCAATACAAATAAACAGTGTTTAAATTCTATAATTAAATCATTTGAGTCTTCTTAAATTTTAAATTTTAAGTATATTTGGTTACTTTTCACCAAAGTGGACATAGAAACATAATTTACAATTACGAAAACTATGATAGTTTTCGTGAACTCAAACTCGTACTAAGGGTTCAGGGCCGCGGTAGCATAATATTCAGTGCATTAGCCCGGATAGCGAAGGGTGCGGGTTCGCGTCCCGTCTGCTGCCTGGTCCGCGTGGATTTTTTTCTAGTAAACTTTTCTTTTGAATAAATGATTTTGATTATGATTATTAAGATTATAGTGTATTTATCACGTTTACGACATTATTTCGAACGAGTGGTTCAATAATTAGGCGCCTTGGCTCAATCGGCTGTCGAGCAACGTCACGCGTCACAAAGTTCGAAGGTTAACCCGATGTGTCGCCGCGTTCGCTGTTTGTGCCATACATGTTAACGACACGTGAATAATTGAATACACACACCCCCTTTGTGATGAAATGACGCTAGCTCCTAGCTTATCAATGCCATGAGACGTATTCAACTACACTCGACCGCTAAGAAAACGGGTCATTCGCTGGTAACTTGGAAATTGGATTTGGTTTTGTCGAAAAGTATAAAACTTACTTACTACAGAAACAGCGCTTCATGTACATTAAAATGAGTATAATTTTGTTCTAAGTATTGTCAACTTGTTGTGTAATCAAGCAAGAAACGCAGTGGTATATTTTTATTTTTGAAGCATTTAACTGCTAGATGATTAAATGTAAAGAAAATTTTACGTACGTAATTTTTATTTTTTAATGTAACTGCTTGATGTTTAAATCTACATAAAATATTTCTAGAAAAGATCCACGCGGACCTGGCAGCAGAAGGGACTCGAATGCACACCCTCCGCTATCCGGGTGGATTACCTACAACGCGAATAGATGGCGCTGCCTTACAGCCTAAAACTACTAGGAGAAATTCGACACGGCCATTAGGACTGTGGTAGCATAGTGATCAGTGCATCCACCCGGATAGCGAAAGGAAATCTAGCAGTTAAATGCTTTAAAAATATAACTATAATTGCTATTTATTCTTTAAAATGTTACATACTTGTAAAGGTATTCGTTTGACATTGTGGGCTACCTATAATGCGAAGAGATAGCGCTGCCTTGCAGCTTAAGAATGGCTAGAAGAATTTCGACGCGGCCATCTGGGGCACGGTAGCATAATTGGTCAGTGCGTTGACCCGGATAGCAAAGGGTGCGGGTTCGAGTCCCATCTGCTGCCTGGTCCGTGTGGATTTTTTCTAGTAAAAGTTTCTTTATATGGATTTACTTATCTAGCTTTAATTTTGCTGATGCTCTGTTTCGTTCTATAATTTAAAATTTCCAATGAAATTGCTGTCCAACTGACTCTGTAATTATCTACTTTTACGTCGTCATTATTTAGTTTGTCTGTTGTCTGGGAACGGCAAATGTGGTGCCGCCCTCTTTTAAGCCTGAATTATAAATGCCAATATGCGACTGAAATTTCAAGGAACTATTTTAATAGGTTGTCATAAAATAATAGAGGTTTGGAAATATTATACCTATTTTCATATTCCCTTCCACATCATTCCTTAAAGAATGGAGGGAAACTGAAGATTCATATTGATATTTTCGACGAAAACTGTTTATAAATACTAAAAAAAATTGTTAGTACTGACGATTTACAGTTTCTTTACTATAAGAACTATTGTATAACAGAAAAGTAATGAACAGTGGACATAAAGGTTCACCTTATGTTCATGTAAATGTAGCGAAATGGCCAAGACACTAGTTTCTTTACTTTGACGGGGTACCTAACTTCAATTCCACTTCGAGACGAAAGCAGCATCAACGCCGAATAGTACAGCACAAAATTCCTGCCAGGAGTTTTTTCTGCAATGAGCAACAAGGCATAGAATGCCTTACAATTATTATTTTGAAAAAGATTATGCCAAAGAATTTCGGAGCAACTAGGTTATGTCAGATAGAGGAAACCCTACTAAATTATCAAAATATGTAGCAAGTTTTAATGAAATGGTGGATGTTCTCCTATTTTTCAGGAACAATTCAAGCGTCGATGCATGAGAATGTCTCCCGCGTGTGATGTCGGATTCGTCCTCCCTGTCGCCCGGGTCGCCTAACCGCGGCATGGACAAGTATGAACAGTTGGCAGTGGTAAGTTTTATAATGCAGAAGGCACCGTGCATTTAATACTCTCCTAAGGGCCACTTGCACAGAAATGACAAGATAAATAAATAATCACGAATTAGGATAAATATTAAATTATTAAGTCAGAAAATACTTTGGACGTACAGAAAATAAGCTCGAGTTACCCACCCCGTCATTTGGAAGGACGTGCCACTTAATGAAAGTATTTTGCCTTGATCAAGCATGTCGAGTAGCCACCATTACTCTCGTATAGAAGCACAGCCTCTCAGGTCTTCTGAAAAGTGGAATTTACTTATGGGTCCCATTCACGGTCCAGTATTGCAGTCCGCAGTGCTCAAGACGTATCCTGCTTGGTGTTGCCAGATGCCATGCAGGCTGCGAAAACATTACAATCCTGCATATAGCGACGGGCTGCAGAGCTACCCGTGAATGGGCGCCTTTATCTCAGACGGGCGCTACAATTCGAGCGGCAATCTGGCATACCGTATCTCTCTTAAATTATAAATCTATGCGATAGGTAGTGCTAACACAAGCCCAAAGATTAAATGTATGTAAGGGAACAAGATTTTGCCTGTACTTACGTGAATCAGTTTTGACTTATACTTCGACTTTTTATTAGCTGCAGTAAAATGACGTTTCATAATGTCATTACGTAAAATAATGTTGACAGCCTAATTTCAATAGGGATGTGATTAGGTTCACAGAAAATCTAATCGTTCCATAACTCATAATGATCATACTTAATTCTATTTATTATTCATATAAATAAAAGGCATATTAATATTTAAATTAATTATTGAACAAAATTTGACTGAATGTTTTAAATTATTTTATTCTGTTTAAATAAAAGGCTGTATAAAATGTCAAGTTGGTACTGGTTTTTAGTTACGGTGCCACGATGAGGCTTGTCCGCCATTTTATTTCATTTGTAATTCGCTCATTCGGCTTCTAACTTCTGTTTTGAGTGCACGAATAACTTTGCTTTGCCCACTGCGAGTTGTTTTAGTTATAATTTTTTTATATTTTTTTTTATATTTCCAACACTTACACCAATTAGCCTAGCCCCAAAGTAAGCACTATAAGGTTTGTGTTATGGGATATTAGGGTAACGGATAGAATACATATACTGTACATATATAAGTATAATTTTATAGAAATACATATTATACATCCATGACTGGAGTATAAATGCTCGTATTCATCACACAAACATCTGCCCCCACCGGGATTCGAACCCGGAACCTCTCGAGTCGGTGACACCATGGAACCCGGCGTACAAACCACTTGGCCACGAAGGTCGTCAAATTATATATTGTTAAATTTTTGTTACGTTGTGTTTGTTTTTCGTTACCTACTTACTTTTGTTAATCGTGTCAGCTTTTATTTGTTTGTTACATCGAAGACATGGATGCTCAGTTGAGCACATCATAAGATGGAGATACATTTTTATCTCCTAAGAAAAAAGGCCACGTGTAGCTCTAAGTGCAACTAAGAAACTTTGGGTCAGAAACGTTTACAAATATGTGTTAGAAGTGAAATCTACAGAATCAAACATTGAAGTTCCAAAAACAAGTGAATGCGTCAACAAGGTGGCTGAAGTCTTGGAAATATCCGTCCGCACTGTTTATTCCGTTTTAAAGGAGCACAAGGAGAACGACTGTGAATCACCAAAGCCTCCCGAAAAACCTGGCCGAAAACTTACATTTAAAGAAAAACTTGATGATTTCACATTCCGCTATTAGACCAATTGTACATCACTGTCTTTCATAGAAATGAAGTACCCATTATCGCAAAGGTTAGTTTACCTGTCATCACTAATCTTTTTATTATACGTTAGGTATAATATGTTTTCTCCCACCCCATGTGGAATTTTAACCAATTAGATGTGGCTGACCACTAAAAATATTACATTTGAACCAAATATGGTGAAGGCCACTCTCATAGATATTGTGAAACAACAAAATCATACTGAAAAATATGCCGTGGACGAGATTGCTGCACAAAAAGGTATCAGAATTTTAAGACCTCCCCCTTATCACTGTGAATTGAACCCCATCGAGTTGGTTTGGGCTCAGTAAAGGAGCACGTCGCAAACAATAATAAAACATATAAAATGCAAGAAGTGAAAACTTTATTCCAAGAAGGAATCAACAGTGACACCGGTTAAGTGGAGTGACTGTGTGTCTCACACTATAAAAGAGGAAGACAAAATGTGCCACCTCGATCATATTATAGATGAAGTGACAGACAGATTTGTCATTAGTGTGACCGAAAGCGACAGCGATAGTGATTCCGAAAATGATTGATTAATAAATAACATTGTTATGACTTTTTGTTTATTGTTTAATTTTGGATGTACGTCCCTATACTTCCATAAAAAAAGCAATCCTTTACTATAGTAATAATAATAGCATGAAAAATCATTACAATTTAATATTAAATCTCTTAAACAAAACCAAACTGATCATTCATTTATTGAATGATTCACTTACTCACTTAGCTACATCCCTATTTATTTTTCTTCAAAAAGCGGTAACCCACAAAACGTCATTTTACTGCAGCTAATAAAAAGTTCTACTTTAAATACTTTTTTTTATAGCCTGGTAGGCAAATGACTCTACCCCACCTGACATTAAGTGGTGACAAAGTCCAAACGCGAAGATAGCTGGTACAACAGTTATAAACTGCCACACTAACCATCCTCACCTTGCCGGCCTGCAAAAATGCTTCTTCATGCATATCTTAAAGGACCCCAGATTGTAGGAAGGAAGGAACTTGTATCATTTCAGTACTTTCATAATTTATGCGTACGGTTCATCGTTTTTAAGCATTTTAATTCCTACTCGTTAAACTTGCATCGTAAGAAAAACCCATTTCAATGCCGTACATGTAAGTCATTTAAGCCAAGACCTCCATAAGGCCATGGTGACTGATATTGATGGACCAGAAAAGTAACGTAATCGTATATTTTAGATTAGGAGTAATCGAGGCCACCCGCGATATCCTGTGGTAGATGATATCTTAACAATCACGTCACGGGCGTTGATTACCATACACAGAATTCTTAAAAGAAAAAATGGAACTGAATAAGCAATAAAGAAACATAAGTGCGATAAATGAATGTTATTCGTATAATGAATGTAAAATTGTTAATAGTGGATTGATATTAAAGAATGACGTAGAAAAAATCAGCGTGCTTTGCAGTGCAATTTCGGTTCTATTCTAATAGCTGATGTCATCATATCATCATCATAATTAGTCGATGAACGTCTACTGCTGGACAAGACCTCCTCTAGAGCTTTCCAAACACATCGTTCGAGCGCTCTCAAGCTGGTCCCCCTGACTTGCTTGATGTCGACAGTCCACTTGGTCCACAACCACTTCGCTTCCCAGTGTGAGATCGCCATTGAAGCACCATGGGATCCCAGCGTCCATCGGTTCACCATACAATGTGCCCCGCCCATTGCCACTTTGCCAAACTAAAGTGGCAATAGTTAAGCTATTTCAGTCACTCTAGTTCTTTTAAGGATTCCCACATTCCTGATTCGAACATGTAGAGAATCACCGAGCATAGCTCTCGCCATTGATCGCTCTTTGTACCATCGTGAGCCTTGCTATAGCCTTGCCTTCCTTTTGAACTATATTTATCTCTTCTTTTGCTGCAGCTAAAGTTATCTATAGCTTAAGTATAGGTAACCTTTGCTACAGTTTATTTTTGTTTTAAGTCGCATGGCTACCGTTAACCTATATAGGTACTTGTTTTTTAGTTCCGCTTACGTTCTGTCACTCGATTTCATCCCCATATCCTCTGGCAATTTTCATATTCAAGTGATTCAGGATTAAATGTGAGTCAATTTACTAAATCAAGGAATACTGGGGCGCTGTGTATCTGCACCATCAGAAGGCAGACATAATCTTATGTGAAGTATTTTGTCTTAATTTATTGCTATTGCAAAGACTTTGTTGCAAGCATCATCAGCTAAATCTAAATTTGAAAAGAATCATTTCTTTTTGTCTCTTGAGTATGACTTTTAGCTAAAATTTATGAATAGTCTACTTATTTCAGTCTGCAATTGGACTTCACTCACTTTTAACATCGGTGGAGTGCAGTCATTTGATAGATACTTACGACTTCCAGTAAGAGAAGCCAATACCAGTTTGACTGAAGCTGTTGTATATTGTATTTATTAAGCATTTTACTGCTAGATGTTTAAATGAAAAGAAAATATTACTAGAAAAAATCCACTAGAACCTGGTTTCAGACGGGATTCGAACTCATATCTTCCGCTATTCAGGCGGCTGAATCTGTGGTTATCACTTTTTTACGATAACTATAGAATGAGAAAACATGTCATTTAACGAGGCATCCAAGTAGTTTGACGTTTTTGAGTACAACTATTTGTCATTGTTATTGTACAATGTTTGGTACAGGTGGGAGAGGGCTCATACGGCGTGGTTCTGAAGTGCAGGCGACGGGACAACGGTCATCTGGTGGCCATCAAGAAGTTTCTTGAGACAGAGGACGATGCCGCCGTCAGGAAGATGGCTCTCCGGGAGATACGGATGCTTAAGGTATTGGAATGTAGCTTTACCACCCAGCACTCAGAACAATTCCGATCGAGTAAACATTTGCTCGCTCGCCCGCGCCTCAGTCAGCTTGGAAAATTGGTTTCCTATTAAAACATCCACCCCCTTTTCACCTGCTTAAAGGATGATTCCTGTGATAAGACCTAACCTAACCTATCATATGTCCGTTCCCGGGACTCCTTGAAGCTTGAAGAGATAACAGACATACACTTTCACTTATCTAGAAATTTCATAGATACATTTTTAGTTAACCTAATTTTAATCCGGAATTTAATGTATCTTATGTCTTAGTTCAGGCAATCATCTATATGTGTCTTTCATTCATTTGAATGTCAGAAACTTTCACATTTCTAATATTAGGTAATATTATTATTTTGTCTTTACCTATGAAATTGCTGTTTTTCGTGAAATAAGTTAACGCCTTTTAATTTTTTATTAATTAATTACCCATGAAATCAAAGTGTTTTTGCCAATGTAGTGGTAGCTTATTAATGCCCTTTTTGAAAAGTCTGTTGGACGGGAGACAACAAATTCTTCAAAGGAATTTTAAACTGTCTCTCGGTCATTGGATTTTTTGCCCCGTTAAGGAGTTATCAAAATTCTGGAAAAAGTAGAAGTCTATAGAGATCGCTAACCATTAAATAAATAACTAATTTTCCAAAAATAACACCAAATTTTATAAAGAAAAATTATGTGAACTTACGATTGAGGCCATGAGAACCATAGTGGCATAACTCATTTTTTAATCATAGTGGCCTATCTTACTTAGGCCAGTATGGCACCTCAAATTTAGATCACAGACTAAAAACTGTAACAGTGTTTATGCTGCCATCTAGTGAATATTCCTTGTATCACTTTTAGATCACTCTGGTTCTATCCAAATGATCACTTTGAACTGTAAAAAATCATAAACTCAATATTGTAAAAAAAATGAGTCAGGCCACTATGGTTCTTATGGCCTCAATTCTTAGGGAAAAAGAAATAAAGGACTTGAAATAGCCAGTACGGCAGAACGGCAATTTCATAGGTAAAGTTCTTAATATTATTAGAAGGATTCATAAGTAACAGAATTGCGATAACACTGCTACCATTGGAGTTTATTATATTTTTATTTTAAGCATTTAACTACTCGATGATAAAATTTTTAGAAAATTGGTCAGTGTATCCGTCCAAATAGCGGAACGTGTGGGTTCCAGTCCCGTCTGCTGTCTGGACAGCGAGGAATTTTTTCTTGTAAAATTTCCTTTAGATTTAAACTGCTACATTGGTTTTCAATACCGCAGAAACTTCGTCACGACCACCTGGTGAACATGATTGAAGTGTTTCGGCGCAAGCGCAGGTTCTACTTGGTGTTTGAATACTTGGACCACACTCTGCTCGATGAGCTGGAGGCTTCTCCAGGAGGGCTGGGCGAAGATAAGGCTAAGAAACACCTGTACCAGCTCTTGAAGGGAATCGATTATTGCCATCAAAATTCTGTAAGCCTAACTTTATTCTCTTAGTTGACTTACTTCTTACTTAACTTATTTCGTTTCATGATGACATAATCAGTTGGTATTACGGCAGGGTTTGGCGTTTTATGCTTACACTCTTTTTTATGATAATTTCTACAGAAATTTGTATGCACTCTAAATTATAGTTATATTTTAGCTTTTTCTTAAACTAATACACTTTAATTTTCGTTATTATCGTTAATCACCTTTTGAATGCCTCTATTAAATTTGGGTAATTTGTTATTACTTAAGTTATGGCTCAATTACACTTGGTCGTTATCCCGTGTTCGGGTGCGCGAAAGACATTACTCGAATTCGGGCACCCGAAGCAATATTTACACTGGAATACAGGCTGGAAGACGGTGTCGGATAAACAAAACGAAAACTACAGGAATACTCAGAATACAGAATTCCATTGGCAATCGTATTCGGGCTAACGACCAACTGTAATTGAGCCATTTAGACTAGGCTGCTTCCAAATAAGGCAATTACTGAAATTATATTGATATTTTTATGCAGTCAGTAAAACCCAAAAGAGCTCCAAAGAGATAAGGGACAGACGAATAAGAAAGATAGACATTGCATTTGCTTTGGATAGAATTATTTATGTGGAGCAACCCATTGCTACTATTTGGAGGCACTGTAGATTTTTTATTGGAAGTTAAAGGAGTGGCCAATAAATCATATGGCCCGCCGGGTGGTAAGCGGCCACCATAGACGCTTGCGATACAAAAAATATCACATGCGCCTTTTCCTACCCTGACCCAATTCACTAACCCGTAGAGCCCTGCTTGCTCATCGACAGGAACACAACACCACCAAAAGGTAGTGTTATTTTACTGTGGTCTGCTGTAAGATGAAGGGGTTACTTCCCCATTTATTTGACCCTAACTAAACTACCACCGCCACCGGTTCCAAAATTGGGAGACCTTTCTGAGAAGAACCGGCGAAACAAACTCAGAGAGGCTTCCTTTATATTTGACTTGATATAAAGGAAGCCTCTCTGATGATTGGCAGTTTAGGTACGGTAGATAGGGTCAAATAAATAAACTCAAAATTACAAAAAAGAATTTTAAATAAAGTACTTTATTAACTAAATTAACTAATAAATTCTTACGTAGACAATAAAGTTTTAAAAATCTTCCAATGAAATATCCGAACGCTCAATAAAAGTCTATCGAAGGTAGCTCGACAAAGTAAATAAAAAATCATTATTCTGACGATGCAGACCTGAAAAGGCTGCGAAACGTCAATAAATAAATAAAGTTCGTGCATTAACCCGTTAAAACTAGTTTTATTTAATGAGTGATGTGCGTGGAAACCTAAGAAACAAATATGTTGGCCAGATAATCCATCGTGACGTGAAACCGGAGAACGTGCTGGTGTCTAACGCTGGAGTGGTGAAGCTCTGCGACCTGGGGTTCGCGCGTGCCCTGGCCGCGCCCGGCGAGCCCTACACGGAGTATGTGGCCACACGCTGGTACCGGGCTCCTGAGCTGCTGGTCGCTGAACACAGGTCTCGGAGACATACAAGTTCTATCCTGAATCATGAATGTAGGAAAGCCTAAAGAGAAGATCTTCTTACGTTTACTACCATAAATTACGTGAGGTGTTTTTTTGGATTTTCTGTCCCTCCCTCCCCCCCTGGTGAGATGTCGTGAGATTTTATTCAACCCCCTCCCCCTTCCCCCAATCTCACGTGAGATTTTGTGTGGGTTTCTTTCGTAAACGCGTTGGATTGTTATTGTAAAAAAAAATGCTTTGTGCTTCTATTTTCGACTAGTTAAGACTAGTAATCAATATTGCTGAGAGTTATAAGTGTAATAAAAATTTAACAATAGAATACTTAATAGATACTACTGTGAAAAAAATTGCGTGATATTTGGCGAGACCCCCCCTCTCTCCAACGTAAGATTAGATGAGATTTGACTCGACCCCCTCCTCCCCTTAAACATCTCACGTAATTTATGGACGCCCCCTAATCGCGTTGTGATGGCCCGAGCGGTGGCTTTAATGGTAGGTGCTTGAGGATACGTCGAATTGAGACAACACTTTGAGACTACGAACTTTACTTAATTGAACTTAAGGAAGACAACGGTGGCTGAATATTAACTAACTGTATCAAGGATAGAGGGGTTTATTATTAGTATTAATTAGTGAATGCTCACCACGACCCTTGTATATAGTGTACATAATATTATCTACTAGTGGCCCGCCCTCGCTTCGCTTCGGTGTAGAGCTGAAGCATAAACTATAGTTTTTGTTCTCAGGCTTATATTATCACAATGACATTCTTCTTATACCTAATTACATTAGGCACGCGCGATGTAGGGTCTCCATACTATTCTACGATTTCACATGGCCATCATTTAGGGCGACACACACAACTTTAAAGTGTTATCATTAAAAGATCGGTGCGCGTAGTAGTAATAAAAGGAACAGGGGTGACAATGAACCAAATGTAAGGTTTTTTTTAATACTGTCCGCGCCCGGCCATCTTTTCACGAAGTACGTAGCCACGTGCTAGTACCGGTCGCCCGAACTGCTTATCGCTGAACACAGGTCTCGGAGCAGATAATTGAAAGAAATGCCTAAGAATGACTTGCTGAAAGAGAGTGAAAGGGCTATACCTACCACGCGGACGCAAAGCGGATTCTAACAATTTGCAGATGTAGCCGAGACCAACGTCTTGTCGCGACTTCTGAATTACGATGAAGCTATAGATAGTAAATTCTATGATCGGCCCTTCTTATTACAGCGTTGCTATTTCCTTTTTATTTCAGATATGGTCCCGAAGTTGACATATGGGCTATTGGATGCTTATTTGCGGAAATGCTCACTGGAGACCCTCTGTTTCCCGGGGACTCTGACATTGACCAGCTCGCTCTCATTATAAAGACTGTTGGTAAGTTTTGTGATATATTTGTCCTATCGTAAGTATTACAGTATTCAAATCCTTATTTCTTAGACTTTCGTCCTGCCAAAGTATGATATTAAAACTCCCTATCTAGGGCATGAAGCTCCGCTACAGCAGAACACAGTAAAATAAAAGCTCGTACATACTACAACGGGCTGCACCGCAACACACTAGCGGATCGCTTGCTAGGTGTATTTTTGCAGCGATGTTTTGCGACCCGCCTCAATGTGGCAATGTTTTAGAAAAGCCTGTATTATACAAGGGGATGAAAGTTTGTATTATTTGTTCGTTCAGGAAAGCTCGCGCCCCGGCACCAGCAGGTAGTGTCGCGGCTAGCGGGCGCGGGCGGCGCGGCGCTAGCAGGCGTAGAGGCCCGACGCGCGGTGTTACCGGGGGCGGGCCCCGCGCGCGACATGCTCGCCGCTTGTCTGCGTACCGAGCCGCGCGCGCGCCCGCATGCCGCCGCGCTGCTGAGGCATAAGTACCTAACACCTACTCTCTATACACGCTGACCCGTGGGGCCCGATGCGCGGTGTTACCGGGGGCGGGCCCCGCGCGCGACATGCTCGCCGCCTGTCTGCGTACCGAGCCGCGCGCGCGCCCGCACGTCGCCGCGCTGCTGAGGCATAAGTACCTAACACCTACTCTCTATACACGCTGACCCGTGGGGCCCGACACGCGGTGTTACCGGGGGCGGGCCCCGCGCGCGACACGCTCGCCGCCTGTCTGCGCACCGAGCCGCGCGCGCGCCCCCACGCCGCCGCGCTGCTGAGGCATAAGTACCTAGCACCTACTCTCTATACACGCTGACCCGTGGGGCCCGATGCGCGGTGTTACCGGGGGCGGGCCCCGCGCGCGACACGCTCGCCGCCTGTCTGCGCACCGAGCCGCGCGCGCGCCCGCACGTCGCCGCGCTGCTCAGGCATAAGTACCTAGCACCTACTCTCTATACACGCTGACCCGTGGGGCCCGACGCGCGGTGTTACCGGGGGCGGGCCCCGCGCGCGACATGCTGCCTGTCTGCGTACCGAGGCGCGCGCGCGCCCGCTCGCCGCCGCGCTGCTGAGGCATAAGTACCTAGCACCCTCTCTCTATACACGCTGACCCGTGGGGCCCGATGCGCGGTGTTACCGGGGGCGGGCCCCGCGCGCGACACGCTCGCCGCCTGTCTGCGCACCGAGCCGCGCTGCTGAGGCATAAGTACCTAACGCCCTCTCTTTACACGTACTGACTCGAGGGGCCCGACGCGCGGTGTTACCGAGCGCTACTGAGGCACAAGTAATAAGCGCCCTCTATCTCGGTGTTACCGAGCGCTGCTGAGGCACAAGGAATTAGCGCCCTCTCTATCTATACACGGTGACCCGCGGGGCTAGGCGTGCGATGTTACCGGGGGCGGGCCCTGCACGCGACCTGCTCGCCGCCTGCTTGCTGAGGCACAAATAAGTAGCGCCTTGCTGAGGCACAAATAGTAGCTAGATGCGACGATGCGCGCACATTTTAATAGAGCGACTCAAAATATACTTTGTTAACTACACGAAAAACTACACATTTCATTGTGAGAATGCAGAATACCGGTTCATCACCGGTACGCTTGGTGTGCAAGAGCGGTGTTGCGTCTCGCGATGCCGCGCGACGCAGCGCGACGCCGCGAGGCGCAGCCTGAGGCCGCTGTGGTGACTTATCTACTATACTACATTGCGGGTGAGCGCGGGCGGGGCGGTCGCCCGCGGCGCGTAGACACGTTCCGTTGCGCCCCGCGGCGTCTCGCTGCGCAGCGAGGCGTCGTGTTGCTACGACTATACGATGCGCCTCGCAACGTAGCGATGCGTCTCACGGCGCATCGCGAAATCATTGGCCTCTTTGAGTGTCGTCGCGTCGCGTCGTGTCGCGTCGCGTCGTGTCACGTCTCGGTGTGAACTGACCCTAAGACGTGTCTCAAAAATTAATGTCAAAACGGAATTCGAGCGAATAAGCTACATTTATAAGGTAAAATCCTTATTTTTCTGGGTTACTTTGCGATGTAATTATCACGCTAACTTCATTTTTTTAATAGTGATTTTGACTGTTTAGTATCTGAAGGATCCAAGGTGTTGAATGGCGGGAATGGTGTTAACACCCCAAAAAAGGGGGGAATAAAGCTGCAATCCTTTCATCCAACCTATTGTTTCGATTAAAATAATTTCATGTTCGAAACAAATATTCGTGATTTCTTTATTTTCAGATATTTCACGACAGACGGCTTCGCGGAAAGTTTTAACGCGGAACTCCGAAAAAAATTAGGGAAGGAGATAGAGGTAAGCTCTTAAATAAAAAAAATACTATTTCCAGATGTTTTTATTATTATAAAAAATAACCTGTGTTCATTCTTTATATTGTAGTCAAAATTTTCTTTAGATAATAGTATAAATGATTTGGCAGACACCTCCTACACAGCAAAGCGCGGCGCGTGTGGCGGGTAAACCAAGGCAGCAGTGGACACTGAACATAATTTCGGTAAAGATTGCTGATTTTTTATTCAGTAAAAGTGTGTTGACATAATAATGGAATTTTGAAAGATTGTTTTTAATTTCAATTAAACGAAGATAGGATTGAGTGAAATTTAGTAAGGTATTTTATTACAAAAAATATAGTCGCATGTACGTAGTGGTATCTTCAAGTAATTAGGTTACAATTTCCGGTGGTAGTTTACGGTAGTTGGGGTCAAATAAATAAACTCAAAATTACAAAAAAGAATAAGGTACTATATTAACTAAATTAACTAATAAATTCATACATGTGTGGAGACCGTGGGACCATGGGGTCCAAGCGCTCGTTCCTTCTTTAAGGAATTGTCTAAGAGACTCACCGAGGTGACCGGTGATCAAAAGGCTGGCAGCTACCTCGGCCAACGGATTAGCCTCGCTATTCAACGTGGAAATGCTGCCAGCCTATTGGGCACCATTCCTGTCGGCGGCGCTGGGGGTGATATATTTTATATTTTGTAAATTGTATATTATTTAAGTTCTTAGTTATTTCTAGTTTTTACGTTTTTAGACATAAGGTAGTTATAAATATCTATTCAATTAATAAATTGTATTTATGTCCTTTTACTAACATACAATTCATACATAGACAATAAAGCTTTAAAATTCACCAATGAAATATCCGAACGCTCAAAAAAAATCTTTCGAAGGTAGCTCGACAAAGTAAATAAAAAATATTATTCTGACGATGCAGACCTGAAAAGGCTGCGAAACGTCAATAAATAAATAAAGTTCGTGCATTAACCCGTTAAAACTAGTTTTATTTAACAATTTCTAGTCAAATGTAATACACATTTCGGCATGGTGGCAAAACTGTTTTGATGCAATTTTATTGTTTTTATTTGTTATTCATGTTTTACAATATCCCATAAGAAGCGAGGGAGGTCGTTGTCATTAATGTCACCGTAATGTCCCCACAGCCGTCGATCCTTGTACGAATCTTCTTTTACAGCAAGCTTTAGCTTTTGCCCGAACTGCCTGTTCCTTATGAAGAAGGAGTACTTGCCGTTTAAGAAAACCGGATCTAAATACCAAGTGTGCCTCATCTCGTCGTGCTTGTTGTCACCATATACTGGTCTATCTTTTATGCCGTCGGGATACAATCCCATTTTCAAAAACTGATTGCAATCCAAATTCTTCAATTTGAAATGAACCTTACTATTCTCCCAAATAGGGAGCACTTTCCAGATTACTCTGCGACTTGTTTTGTCGCGGGAATCCCCCCAAACCTTTCTGTCCCCAGCAGAGTCAATGTTAACATCCAGTTTCAAGGCCAGATTATATTGTCGGTCCATCAAAATCACATCGTTTTCATCGAATATGAGTGGAAAGGAATTGGGCAAGTATTTCTTGACTATCTCTTTCTCGCCACTCGACCAGAGCTTGTAGCCGTAACTCAAGATGTTCGGGTTCATTTCTTGCGCCAGTTTCTCGACAACATGTGCGATCATTCCGTGATGAAACACGCCATGATTGTTCGTGTCCGAGATGTTTCGCGTCAGTTTGACGGCTTGCGAGTACTTGCCATCGATGATGTTGCCGTATAATTCGTCGATGGCATCGTTGATGTTTAAGTAAGCCAAGTAACTACTGGACATTTTCACGTATATAAATAATACTAGTAATACTTTATCTGTAAAAATACGTATAATCTTTAATTTTTGTTTGCAGAGTAGATTTTTTCGTTTATGAGATAACTATTCTCAATGTTAAAACTATCTAATTTATAATCATCACTTATAAACTGATTGATTATAAACTAGGTACCAATGTTCCAATAAATTCAATAAAAGATAGAGTCAATAGAATTATGTATTATTTTGTATTTTCAAAATGCAATAACATTTTATTAATACTTACAGTCCAACATTACCTTCCGCACCTGTAGCTAAGGGCTGGCCCAATATCTGATACAATTTTTAAAACAAGTATAAATAAATTGTCTTTTCTAACCAACGACAGTTGAAGTTTAAAACCGTCTAATTGTGAAACCCTGTTTTTATATGCTGAACCGCTAACCGAACTTCATTGGTAATTAAGTATGACAACAAAACAACCACAACATCTACGATAGCTCGCGTCACCACAAGCCAATAGATATTTTATTGTTGATAACAATTTGAATAAGCAGATAGTGTCTAAACCAATGTACCGTATGTAATGTGTGTAATATTTAGTATACTGAATGATTTGTTTTCTCACGAACACAGAATGTAGCTGCATTGTAATTCTGTAATAATCATAATTTACTTGCAGAAATATGGTTACAAAAGGTATCACTGCATTAATTCCCAGCATATTCTTTTGAACTTCAACGTTAAAAGCAAAAGTAGTCTAAGTTAAAAGGATTTTATTTCAAAAAAATATACAAGCATTTTTACTAAATGACATGTATTTCAAAAAAAAGTACATTCAGTTAAAATAATAAAATAAAAATTGTATCAAAATCCAAGTAAAATGACAAAAAAATATCTATATTATTCTACATATTTGATACGATTATATTAATTTAACACAAATGTCAAACATGCACATATTGCTAGGGTATTTTATTATTTAAAAAAACATTAATGACTATTGCATTAAAGGACAATGGGCAAAACACACCCAGCTCCGCCAACAATGTAATTAGTACGAATCGATAGATCTATGAAAAACTAGCCTTTTTTATTATGATACCGTAAAAAAATATCCTGGGAGTCAAAAGATATGTCACCGTAAAAAATATCCTAGTAGTCAAAAGATATGACACATGGACATATTTAAGTAGCTAAATAAATTCATTTTATAGTACCTTTATTTTATATTATTAGTAACCATAATAATATACATAATCCAAATACAACCAGATATGAGAAAAGCCTGCCGACCATCCCGCGCTTGCACTTACGACTCGTCTTACTTCTTTATGACTGTGCGCTCCCTGTCACTTGATTGATTTTTATCTACATTACGACATTGGAAAACGATTATCGGTTTTATCAATTAGTATGGATGAACTGGAATCATGTTTTCTCCGAAGCGTGAACAAGTTTGGGTGATTTGTGGTTGCTCCGTTTTACAAAGAAGACAATTTACTATGTATAACGAACAGAATGTTTGAAAAAAACCCAACCCATGCGGGGATTTTTGGATTTACTATAGTGCGGCAGAATAACATAAGGGTGCCCCCTTGAACCTTGTAAAGTACTCCCATAATACCTGAGCCCCTATGTAGTGTCGAACTAACTAACTAAATTACTTCCATTGTTTCATTAATGTTCGTTCGATAGTACTTGTACGTACTTAAAATAACTAAAGACCCCCGGGATGGAATTTGATGAGCTTTGGCACAGATGATCATGACTATAATACCTTTCAAACAAATGTAGTTTAAGCCGTGGCGGACGTGGGTGCAGCGTCCATACATTTTTGCCCAATGTCCTTTAGTCAAGGTAATTTTTCTTTGTCACTGGTTAACTTGTTATATACACGAATGGACATACAATATTAATTTTTCGAAAATAACTCGAGTCTTTGGATTAGAATACATAAATATCGTTTCCTTTTCTACCTCTATATTCAATGTGTTTTTGCTTACTTATTAATTAGAATCTTTTACGAACACTCTCATTTCAAAAATATATAAACATTGAACTGGTAGCACTCCAAGTAATTTAAATAAAGGCTTACAAGAATCCAAATAACCTGCACCACAGAGGGATCCTATACATTTAATATTTATTTAAAAACCTTGATTGCTTCTACATAATAACACCATAGTATGATACTATAGCGCAATACAGACGAGACATAACCAAAAAAGCTATGAGAGCCGATCAATGTGTGCCTTCCAGTTTGTCTAGATTGAATCTTAAAAATTTGGTATCGCCTACTTCTTCCATTGGGTGGTTGTTTAAATTAATATTAATTTAGTTATTCCACGCAGACCAGACATCAGACGGGACTCGAACCCGCACCCTTCTGATAGCCGTGTCGAATTCTTTCTAGCCTTTCTTAAGCTGCATGTCAGCGCCATCTCTTCGCATTGTAGATAACTCACAATTTCAAATGAATACATTTACAGATAATAAACATTTGAAAGAAAAAATAGCAATTATTGTTATGATTTTGATTTTTTCAGCATGTAAATGCTCGATGATTAAATCCAAAGAAAATATAACTAGAAAAAAATCCACGCGGACCATGAATGCACTGACCATTAAGCTACCGCGGCCCTGATGGCCGTGTCGAATACTTTCTAGCCAGTCTTAAGCTGCAAGGCATCGGCCATCTCTTCGCATTGTAGCTAACCCACAATGTCAAATGAATACCACCGTCTGCTGCCTGGTCCGCGGGATTTTTTTTCTAGTAATATTTTCTTTAGATTTAATAAAAAATAAAAATGGATAGATAAATATTAGATAGAGATATATATAGATAGATAGATAGATATCTATATCGATAGAGCTGGTTCCAGTACAGGCACAATAGCCGGAGTTGGAAACTATTTTTTTTTACGAAGAATACTTTATCTCTGCATTATAATTACGTACTTCGTTCATATTGACTTTTAATATATAGCATAATTTTTGTAAGAAGAATTAGCTCTTCTTTAGCCTTTCGTCAGATATGATCTAGCTCCCTTTAAAACTCTTAGTTGGCAACACTGGTAATATGTGCATCTCCTTTCAGGATCATAACAGATCTAGGACCGACAGTATCGCAGGCGAGTCTCTCATAGACTACAACTACACACCAAGTGAGTATCCTTGAATGTCATTGTAAAAGGACTTAGAGTTTGAGTTATAATTTAAATTTTACACTGAATTTTTCCTTTAAGTTTAAATCTTTACCAAAATATCCTATTTCCAAAAATTCCACAAAAAGTCTTCTTAACTAAAAAAAGAGCTTTTGTACCATAAACCGTATCATTTAGGAATAAAGTTTTTAGTTTTGATAAGTTTCAATTGTGCCGAGTAATTTAATAGATAAAGGTTATGACCAAATACAAAATCAAGATCTGGGGGCCATTGGCCTAAATTCACCCCCTTATAGGTGTTCAGAGTTTATATGGTATGTATGGGAAATGTTTCCATGCAGACAAGGGGTAATACAGATGTTCAGAGTTTGTATGGTATGTATGGGAAATGTTTTGGGAGAATAATTAAACTTCCTAAACAAAGTTATATTTCTATAAAAATTTAGACCTGAAATCTGTTCTGGACCAGGGGACCATTCGCCTAACGGGATTGCTTTCGAAAACGCTATCGCTTACAATTTCATTTTGTTATTTCTAGCCGCCTGAGGTTTTCAAATGCCTCGCGCTCTTTTTTTTCTTTTGCATTGGTAATAACAATATTAAAGAAAATGAGCGTGAGGTATTTGAAAACCTTCGGCGGTCAGAAATAACAAAATGGAATCGTAAGCGTTAGCGTTTTCCATAGCATTTCCGTTAGGTGAATGGCCCCCTATTGGGTTTTACAGCGAACAACGAAAAATAATAGAAATTGAAATTAAATAGAAAACAAAAATCTATTCTATCTATATCTAGTTTATTTTTCTTTTAAAAAAGCGTCTGAGATGCAAGTGGAACATGGCGGGGAAAAGAAATCAAGTCCAACACCAGCTCCCACCATTACATTGCAAGATTCGATTTCTGAAGTGAGTGATAACAATAAACTTTTTATCATAGAAGTAGTTCGCTTAACGACTTGTGTTATGGTATACTAGGGTAACGGATAGAATACATAATACATATACTGTACATATATAAGAATATTTATATAGAAATATATTTAAAACATCCATGACTGGAGTTACAAATGCTCGTATTCATCACACAAACATCTGCCCCCACCGGGATTCGAACCCGCGACCTCTCGAAATCGGAAATCAGAAATCAATATATCTTCATTCAAATTGGATGTATAGTACAACTCTTTTGAATCGTCTAACATTTTTTCCCATACTACTCGTTATGGACATAATATATTTTAGCTGGGGAGAAAAACGAGCCAAAAAAACTCCACAACATTAAAAGTCTAATGTAACAACATTTAAAACCATTATGTTGTTACAACGTCAATACAATTATGTTTTTTTTTTGAAGTTATACTTCTTTAGCCGCGTTATGAAAAAATTATGAGAGTGAAATTTTAAGATGCGCGCGCATCACTGTAACACAAAAGTAACATAATGAAGTTAGCCGCGGGCGCGTTATGAAAAAATGATGAGAGTGAAATTTTAAGATGCGCGCGCAACACTGTAACAGAAAAGTAACACCATGAAGTCGGCCGCTAAACCGCACATTACTCGTAAGTCTCGAAAAAAAGCTTCCAACAAAATAGTTATAGGATCTCTTAGTCGCATATGTTGGGACGCTCGTCGCCTCTGATCACTGTTTTCATATTTATAATATTTTAATAAAACTGTAAGAATGTGCGGGAGGGCGAAGGGGGAGTGTGAGAAGACTGACGTCAAATAAAGATAGGCGTAGGTAGAAAATACTTATATTGTGATTACTATTCAATATTTGTAGGAGAAATGGTATTACCACGGTAATAATATCATACAGTATTCTATCTTCATACAAACGGTCGGAAAGCGAGTCATACCTACGCCACTCGAGTTCGATGTGCTCTCGGCGGGCACCCAGTCGCGAATGCGCCGCCGCGCCGCGCCGCAACGACGACCGAACGGTCTGAATTGTTTTTTATGCAGTTAGCCGTGCTTAAACGTGCGTTTTGTATTGTAAATATTTGATTTAATTAAGTAGATACCTACATAATTTAGTATGGAAAAGAACAAACGACGATCAATATCGTACAACAGCACAATTGCTGTTTTTGGATGCTTGAACTCTTCAATAACACACCCAGAGATATCATTTTTTAAATTACCTGAAATATTGGAAAGGTGTCTTACCTTTATAGAATATTTTTTATATACCTATCTACTAGTACGTTATTTGTTTCTAATATTTAGGTATTTCGGTTTTTCCATCGGGCAAAATATCTGGAATAATATATAAATAAGTGGTTAGGATGAAAAAAGAGACAAACGAGTAATCTACCTACACTCGCGTTAAAAACAAAACTACATAAAATACTGTATGCTGGCGGCCCTACCGCGTGCCAACGCAGCGCTCGGTGTAGGCATTTATTTTCAAGGACAGGGCGGAGTCACAATACTGTATAGATAATATTACCGTGGTATTACTGTATCCCACAAGGCTGGAAGTACATGTATACTATTATCAAGACACTAAGACGTCGCACGTGGTGGAAGCGTATAGCGTGCAAGACAATAGGCCCTACCTACGAAGCGATGACTTGGTCAATTTCCCAAGAACACCTTATACAAGTGGTGTCAGTATAGTATAGCACGATTCACATGCGTACAGCGCCATCTAGTAGCGGTCGGCGTGATGATATTTGATCCTATGATGTGCCATACAATCGGTGTCGGTATAGGATAGCGCGATTCACATGCGTACAGCGCCATCTAGTAACGGGCGGCGTGATGATATTTAATACTATGGTGTTACAAAACTTATTTACTGGACTAATAACTTAAATTCAGTAGTGATTTTAATTGAATACTTTGAATATTTATTTAATTTTTCAATTTAAAACTGAACTTAATTGACTGTGTTAACTATCCTTTTCCAGTCCTTTTATTATTTTATTGTAATTATTAATTATTTGCATGCAATTAAAAAATATTTTTAATGATGCTAAAGAAGTATAACTTCTCACGCGCGTACATAAATTACACGCATCCATTTTTTTAATATAGAAAACCTGTTGGAATGATTGGAATAGTTCAAACTCAAGCATTTTTGTCTGTAATCGAGTCGGCGAACCATGAAACCACGCCCATGACAAGCGTGCGTAAACAAGTTTCACTTCAAAAATCCTTAAGCTCGTCCAAGCTTCGAAAAGCACGCGTATCTGCAGTTGTTAGCATACACCAAACCGCACCGGACCCACGAGGTGGGTCACTGCCCAAACTCCCTATTCCATCTATAGGGTCGCGAGCACCCACATATCCACCCTGGTTTTGCATGACGGGTCATGTCCCAGTCTCCTATCCTAACCATAGGGAAGGCCTATGCCCTAGCACTGGGGACATTAATAGGCTGATGATGATGATGATGCAGGGTCGGACCGCGGCGGGAGGGTCGCTGCCTGCGCCGGCGCCGCGCCCGCTTCCTCCGCGCTCGCTGGCTCGAGCCATTAACGACACTTTCCAAGTAAGTAACAAAAGTGCAAAGGTAACACGGGGCTATTGTAGCCAGGGGGCAAATGTAATTGTTTCAAATAACTCGTTACTGCTTCATATTATGAAAATCGAACTCTATTTACATGTAAGGTCAATAAAAGTTACTCTACAAAGCCACCAGATGTAACTTGTTTTAAAAAACGAAACAGTAACGAGTTATTTGTAACAGCTACATTTACCACTTGGCTACAATAATCCCGGGGGTGAATTTATCACTTTCTTTGCGATGACATTAGAATAAGACAACATGTGCCTTTAAATGACACGACTTTATTTTTGTGATTTCAGACTTTCCCAGTGCCAGTTAATTCATATCCACGTACGCCTTACATCAAGAAGTAAGAATTTTATGGTTATTGTCTAGTTAATCAGAAATCATTATAATATATTATTATTAAACATTATACTCGTATATACAGGTTTTTTTAGGGTGTCAAGCCAGTGCGAACTGATAGCAGAGTACCATACCTACCAATTTAATTCGTTAATCGTAAAAAATTACAAAAAGAAATCTAACGCGCAAACTACGAAAAATCGTAGAACATACATGGGGGTTAAATTAATTGGTATGGTACTTTGCTATCAGCTCGCACTGTCTTGACACCCTAAAAGAAACAGCTGTATATATATTAAAATGATTTTTTATTTATATTATAAACATATATATATATTAGGAATATAAGGTATATATCATCTAGTGAATATACTTTGTTTATAATTTCCAAATAAAAGACCACAATGTTTTATTTCTATATGTTGCACAGGGTGAATAATAAACTTGTGATGGACGAGGATCTACTGAAGGGTCGCGCAGCAGCCAAAAAGGCTGTGAAGAAAATTCCTCCCGAACTTTGTCTGCCGTACGTACCAGGAGGTGGGTATTATTTATTTATAGATTTATTTTAATGGTATGTCTGTTTTATTGCGTGCGCAGACGAAGAACTTTTGTCCACGGAGGACCTAAGTCTCTGAATCGTGAAGAAATTGTCCGCCGAGGACTTGTCACGGACTCAACGCGCACAACATGCGAACATTTTCCCCCGAATGATAAGAAAAGCGCACGCTATGGAAGTAAATTTCGTTGTCAAATAACGTTATGTTGTAATTAACATGAATTTTGTGAATGAGAAAATTAAAAAAATTGTTTTAAAAATGGAACAGTGGGTTCATTTTTTTAAATCGTACCGGCGCGCACCCATAGAGCTATAAGAATAAAATAGGGGAGATATAGACTCTACTACAAGTGGAAGTGTCCCTCTAATAGAAAGAGAAAGAAGATGAGAGACCGCTAGCTTTCTCTCTTTAATCGCGCATGCGCATTGACAACCGTAAGCATCTTACTATTTCGATGTGATGCCATTGGATGCCATACGTCACAAGAGAGAGAGAGATAGCTAGTGGTCTCTCATCTTCTTTCTCTTTCTACTAGACGGACACTTTTGGAGCCGCCTTCCCCACTCTATTCTTATACCTCTATGCGCGCAACGCGGATTACGATCGCCTTGTGCGTTGCTGCGCCTTGTCACATGAGTTAATTTTTTATTTGCGGACATCCGCGTACTTTTATCCTGTTACTCCTATCCGGTCCCTCCTGTTCAGGGGACTTTTTATACGCGGGATTTTTAATACCTTGTGTGCATTACTCGATGCAATTGTAAGCGAACATTTATGAAATGTCGTATTTGACATATTTCTAAGAAAATGTGTATAAAATGACCACTTATATGAAACTTCATTAAATGTTGGATGTTAAAATTGAGAGTTGAAACGCCCTTCTTGATACGGTTTGCAGTACTAAGACACTAAGCTACTTAGACTCTAACTTAAACCATATTTTCGAGCTGTCGATCGTACAAACTTAGACTACAGATTGCAGGAGATGTCACGATACATGGTAAATTCTTACAGTAATACATCAACACATATATATGCCATTTAGATATCTTAATTAACGAATAGAAAAACTTATGGCTGTAATGTTTCACAGCGAGCAATAGCCCCATTAAGAAAGCAAAGATGCCGCACTCTCAAAACGCCAAATCTTACGACACTTGGGACAGCTCGGTGAGTCATACTTATCCTTGACAGCATATAGCGTAAAACCTATTCAATTTTCAATATTTTTAGGGGACATCTATGGCATAGTAATTTGCGCATTATGGTCGGTCATCGGATGGATAGTATTGTCGTTGTTGAGAGGGTAAATTCACCCCTGAAAGTGATCACTAACCACTAGGCGGACCATGTAAACTAACGGTGTGTACTAAACAAACGTTTGCCACTTTCATAATTAAAATTATAATGTGATGCAAGTACCTAAACTGATATGGCAGCTGGAGCTAATTAATAGTCACATAAAACCAGCACTAGTTTAACTTAAGCTAAACTGGCTCCAAAAGTATTTAAGTGGAGTCAGCACTGGCATGCCAGTTACTGTATCACTGTAAATCGGCCTTTATTATTTCTATGCAATTATCAACAGCCGAACGCGGCAGTGGTGTCAGCTTTTAGACAAAGCCAGCTTTAGCACGCCAGTTACTGCATCACTATAAATCAAACTTTATTTCATCATCACCAGCCTTTTAGTGAGTCCTCACTGCTGGGGCACAGACCTTCCCTATGGATGGTATAGGGAGATTTTGCCGTGACCCACCACACGGGCCCAGTGCGAATTAGTGGATGCTAACGGCTACAGATGTAGCCGGGACCAACGGCTTAACGTGCCTTTCGAAGCACGGAGCACCTCGAGAGGGTATGTTTTTTAGTCACACATCCCCTGACCGACCAATCCGAAATTCTTGACTTCCACGAAGGCAAGCCGAACGCGATAACCACCTGTACCATCGATCTTCTCAAGGTCGGCAGTAATTACTATGGCTTTGATGTTCGACAAATACTGCCGAACCGACTCTGCCGGCCCGATTATGTGTGTAGCTACTCCAGGCATTATTATTTATATGTAATGATTAACAGCGGAATGCGACGATGGTGTCCTCTGGCGGCCGTACGCCGGCCAACCTACCGTACATGTGACACCACGAGCGAGCCTACTGGCGGACCGCCTTCTATTACTGACGACAAATTTTAACACCGAAGATTAACATCTACAAATGTGCGAAATTAGGAGTATTTTCGCCATACAACAATGTAATAAGACGAAAGAATTTCATGGTACCACTGAATGACAAAATTCTGCATTTTATTGATATTCGAGATCAATTGGGTAATCATGAACAGTTTTTTAAGGTCTTGGTAGCTGCTGTGTGTGCTGTGTTATAAATGAAAAAATATTTAGAGATCACAAGCTCTGATATTTAAATAACTGAACAAGGCCAGTCGCCAGATAACTTTAACGTATCCATTAGGCAACATTTGTTGATAAACTGTTTATAAAGTTCATCGCCTTGTTTATAAACAAGTTTACCGTAAACACTGTTTCTAAAACATGGCCGTCGACACTTGTCAGTTGTTGCTCGGATGTCGTCCTAGGGGGTAGCGTGCTCTGCATAGTAATTAATGGTAGTACGAGTGCGTAACCGAAAAAGCTCTATGAGCATCGAAATTTGGTCGTTGTACCTCACAAATTTGAGAAATGTTTTGAGATTTCGATAATGACAGATAAACATCGATACAATAGCTGGATCCAGCTTAAGGCTCCTAACAACGGAGCCAGATAAATTACTTGACTAGTGTGGCTGGACTGGCACGAATGGCATGCCAGCCAGTTTGAGGCCGCCAGTTACTGTGTCAATGTAAATCTGTCATTATATACTAAACCACTTTATCATAGATTCACTGGATTTTTGTAAAATTTGCAATAGTTATAAATATGAAGACTGTTTTCGGACTATAGGTATTGTGTAATATAAATTATTTATTATATTATCCTTTTGTAGACATTTATCGACTAGATTTTAGGAACCATCTGAATACTTGTAATGCACGTGTTTTGACCTAAAAAATTCGTAAATAAACCGTTTTAATGTACTGGTAATACCGCAATTAATTTTTCCCCATCCTACCACCATATTTCCTCTACAGAAATAATGTTTAGGTTGGAATCATTTTAAATTTAATCGCTTAGAGGGTTAATAATTAAAAATGATTAATTTGAATTGTTTTATAGTAATATAAGTTATTTACGGGATTATTACCCATAAAGGTACACCTTGTTTTTAGCGAGTTAGGAAGAGTAACAGTTACCCCACGGAGTAACTGTTACTCTGCGATCATGGTCTTTGCAACAGTGCCGAAATATCGGAAACTGGCTAAAATCAAAGGTACATGGTAACAATCACGTAAATAACTTATATTGCTATAATGTTAGTGACCATGAAAGTTTATATAAATTAAAATTAAATAAATGCATGTTAATTGTATTACTGATATTGACAGTATTTAATTACTTTAATCCTGTGGAACCACAGTTAATACGCGAATGACTCACTATTATCTGTGGTACTACTAAAACTATTAGATTTAATGACATTGTTTTTTTTTTAATAATAAATACACGGGTAAATTATCTTTTAGATATAATCTTAAAGATTAAAACTATGGTTATAAAGATACAGATTTATATGGTAACATTTTTATAGTTTAAAGAAGGGAAAAAATAATACATAATATTAATTTAAAATTGTCATCAGACTGTTGAAACATCATTGATGTTTTGTTACCTATTTTGCTTTACTATCAGCACATTAAAATTTGTAAATATGTATAGCGTTAAATTTTAATAAACACCTTTTAATAAAACTTGTTTTTTTATTTATATTTTAATTTTTTAAATATAATTGGATAAAAACCCTATATCATGTATCATGCGTAGCGTAGTATCATGACATGTCTCATACTCAGAGGCGGCTTGCGGCCACGGCCGTCAGTCACTCCACTTGAAAATTGTAAGTATGTCATGATTAAAGAACTATTTTAAAAAATACATAACAAAAAGTCACTTGTGTAATAATTATTTAATTTTATCACCAATCTTTTTTGCGACAATTAAATAATAAGATTATATAAATTAAATCTTACACTGATTTGATTATTACTTACAATTATTTTTAAATCTAAAAAATCCTGTCTGATGCCTGGACCGTTTTAATTTATTAAGTTAAAAAAAATCTTTAGATGTATAAATGTAGCACTTTCTTGTAAAATGTTTAAAATAAAACTATAATATAGGTACTTAATATTTTTTAGCATTTAACTGCTAGATGTTAAAATCGAAAGACAATTTTACTAGAAAAAAAAAACCACGTGGACATTATTGTTTATTAATATAATTATATTTAGTTAATCGGTTTGATATACCAGCCGAAGTAGCCAGGGTCGGCGCGTACGTCGGTAGAGTGCCCCCACAGCGTGCGGTCGCCAATGCTATCGGCACACACTGCCAACTTTAGCCCCAAGCCATATTTACCGTTTATGATGAAGAACAGCAGCTCCCCGCCATGAACCACTGGCTCCAAGTACCACATGTGACGAACGTCAGGACAACCGTAAGCGCCCCAGGCTTCTCTATCCTTAATGCTATCCTCATATGCCGCCAGCTTCAAAAACATCCCGCAGTCATAGTTCAGCAACTTGAAAATCACTCTGCTATCCCTCCACACCGGATAAAGCTGCCAGACTATGCGCTTACTCGTTTTATCTTTCCCGTCCCCCCAAGCCCTCCTATCATTCATTCCATCCAATATCACAGCCAACTTGAGTGCCGATGAGTTCTTCTTATTTACGATCGTCACGAAGTCTTCGTTCAGTATCGCTTTGAACTCACAAGGGAAGTGGTTGATCACTACGCTTTGGGCGTCAGAATTCCAAAGCTTGTACGCAAGGTTCATCACGTTTTTACAGTTCTCCTCCAAGAGCTGATTTACCACTTCGTAAATAACTTCACAGTAAGAGCTGAAAAGTAAAGACTTGCACAGCTCCACAGCAGACTCGTATTTGCCAAAGCAAATATTCTGCTTTAAGTCATTTTTAATCACGGCAGAATTTCGTATATTGTCGTAAAGTGTGAGATCGTTCAATTGGCGTGGCAGAACGTGGTCGGCGCAGTGGATAAAGTTATAAACTGCCAGCTCGCTCTCTAGATTTCTTATGTCAGCGGAAGTACGTTTAAATCCATACACCACGACTTTGCCTTCAGACTTGCTCACCATTCGGGCAATGTCTTTTGCGCAGCTGTTATTGATGGGAGCTCCCATGAGGGTAACGATGCGTACAGAGTTTTCTTTTATATAGCTTGAAGTGTCACAGGTAGTGTAGCTTAGAACTGGTACTCGATTGGGGATCTTTCTGCCCCGGTCTGGGCCGTTGCTCACGCATTGGTGAGGATGGTTGACATTATAGCAGTCTATGAATCCGCTGATACCCTCCTCTGTAGTCTTAATCCTGCCCTCGCCCCAATAGTCCACTAAATCGATCAGTTGCGAGTCACGTGGTATTTGTACCAATTTGTACTGTCCGATGAAAGGGACTTCGGAGTATGGATAGATTTTGTCCACGTTACCACACGGGCCATAGTTAGGCGAGCTTGCCGTTTTCCAATTTTCAAAAGAAGTCATCCTCGCGAGATTTTATTTTATCTACAGGATTATTTTTATTATGTGGCCAAAACTCGACAATCTCATTCACTAACCAAGCGGACAGCGTATAGTAGTGAATAATTTGTTGTGCTTTAAAAATGTTTTATTTATATAGTGACATCGCGGTGATTTTGTGGTATGATAAAATTACATTTATCTGAAAAATATTCTAACCGCATTTTATCATGACGTAATTTACTTTAGCAGAACGCTGTAAATAAATATATTATTATCGAGGTAGGCAAATATACATAGTGGTGTACCACCAAAGTTTTACTGGTAGGAATGGTTATTGACATTCAGGTTGTTGATATGATACAGACTAAATTAAGTAGGTACCTACTTTCTGTTAAAGTTGAGTTGTTGATAAGTAATTGTCGTTCATCCTACATTTACTTACCTACATTGTTTCTATTGCCGTAGACTTTAATTGTATATACGCCTACATACAGTATTAACTACCGTATCAGGTACAAACATTTCTCGTCTCCTCCTCCTGCAAACTAGAATGAATTCTTTAGATGATTCCAATCCCAACTATGTTAAGAGCACTACAAGTGTAAAGCTTCGTGTAGGTACCCGAAATCATGCTTTAACACCTTTCATGTATGTTTAAGTTCTTGTCCCCCTACCAAGGCCATCTGCCTTTGTACTTGTCAAGTACAAGGGCATATAAGTTTTATCCAAGTATCCGTTAGGATTCGCTTACAAATTTTACAAAAGACATACCTACTAGACGAATCGATCGTGAGACCCAAACTTTCGTAGGTTTTAAAGATCGCATAGGTGTTGGCTGCAAGTATTTGAATCATTTGGCTGCACAATCGCTTTCTGGCTTTCCAGAGTGTCAGTCCGTTCTCTACGTCTGAGTTTAACGATAGTCGATAGGTGAAGTAAAAATGCGATTCATTTGGCAATTTTATTTATTGTCAATTGTTTACGATACATAGGACGCTATGACTAAATCTAACAATATCATACGCTTATTCTAAAAACGATACGAATGGCATGATCATCGTCAATAAAATAACCTTAATAAATTAAACATGCAAGTGTAGGTAGGTACCGGCAGCCACAGATCAAGCAATCCGAAACTGTCAAATTACGTCAAGTGGCTGAGCTTAAAGCCTCCAGGCACGTTATTATCGGTCGATAACACAGAACACAGAAAGAGGTTAAAAGGGTGAGCATAGACTATATAATATGCACCTAATAGATAATAGCCAATCAAACGACACGACATCAAATAATCGACCCTTTCAGCGCTTACATCCGAGAGTAACGACCCAATCAAAACCAACTTTTGGTCAAGTTATGAGCTCACACCTCACGCAGCGCCCACAAGGCCCTTCTAACCTCTTTCTGCTTTCTGTGGTCAATACTATTAGATGCGTTATTGCGAGGTTTTGTCATACTTCTATCGCGTCGTTATTATAGCAGCAGCATGTACTTTGTAGTCTTTCTCATACCATACAATTTAGTTAGATACTAAAAACAGATAACGCAGTAACGCATCCGATCTTATATACCTATTATCTTATATACGATTATAACAAGCGTGGGAGGAGGCCTTATCATACATCAGTTGAAAAAATTTGACATTAGGTGGTAACTTGTATGTTGCTGACTGTACAAAAAACTGATTTTACCGATTCGATACCGCGTTTCGATACGCAACTTTGGTTCACACAACGAGTTATATTCATTATATCAATCAACGATATTATAAATATCGTTATAAACTTTCATATCGTTTGTTTAATATTGTATCTAGAGAAATTAGTCGATAGATATCGAATAGTATATCGACAGTGGTAAGGCAAAATCGGTAAAACGCCACTTTGGTCGAAAATGATTTATATTTGTTCTGTATTCTGAGGTTATACTCGTATATATAATTTGAATCAGATTTATTCTGCGTCGATCTGTTTATGTTTCGTAAAGAGTGATTTTTTGGCGCTTAAGCAACAAAATTTTGTGAAGATTTTTATTGACCGCAACGCTGAAGCGGCATAAATGTTGATTTTTTTTTAAACCAATGGCGCTTACGTTCTCTTTTGTATCTTAAATGATTTGATGTTTGCTTGTCAGAAAATGTATGGCGGGCCGAGTGATTTTCGTTTAAGCGACAACTAATTCGTAAAGGCACTATGTAACTTTTTAATAGGAGGATTACATAATACTATTTTATGAATACATTTTTATTTTTATGGCGTTACTTCTCATTTACAACGAATAATGTTTTTTTTTTGTGAAAATAAAAACTTTGATCCTCGTTTCTGTAAAGTTACTAAAGTGGCGTTTAAGCGATTTTGCTTTTGCACTGTCGATAAATGGAAGCGGTCTGCTTACAAACTCACTAGTTCAAATATAAACTAACGACGTTTTACAATTATACGACGACAATTACAATAATAAGCGAATCTTAATACTGAAGCAGAATGTGTCAAGCTTAATGATTTATCACAATAAATTATTAACTTACATAAGGACTTTAAATGATTTGTTCGTAGTTTTAATAATAAAAAATGCATGTCGTGGAAATTTCCGTTTTCTACAGCCAAAGAGGAATGAACTAGGGATGTCTAGTGGAGCGGTCTTCGTGTACATAAAAAAAGGATTTCATTTCTACCGAGAAAGAGTTTTTACACTATTTGCCCGCTTTGTTATTTTCGCTCGACTCTTTGTTGGTGGAAGCCGATGTATGCACTTTTGTGTTACGAAGTTAACGAAGTCATTCGAATGGGCTAGCTCCACTCGCGTGGAAAACCCCCTTAAGGCCCACATGCAGCAAATTTGCTTAATCTCTATTCAACTGTTCGGTCAACAACTATAGATAACTGGTCAGCACGTAAAATTCCGTCTCAGTAAATATAGCCGCACTTGAGGTGTGAGGTCTTATTTTAAATTAGTTCGGTTAATATAAAACGTAGTAACTCGCTGGCCAATGACTGGTAAAAATGTTTTATTTTGTGGGTCATAAGGTTGATTTTAAATTTTCCTTTTTTCTCCTTTATCGTTTTTTTCCAAGTATCAGATATAATTTTTAAAAGAACTAGAGTTCGTTTTATAAGATAAAAGGTCTTATGTGCGAAATAACATTTTGTTATTTGTCACCTTATTCGTTTGTGAGATATTTGTTATTAGGTTCAACTTAGACTGTTTTAAAACATTTATCTTTATTCATTGGGGAATCGCTTGTAGCTGCATAAGTTTAAACATATGCGAACAGTTTTTAGCTTTCATTTGGTATGCAACCGGTTATCTATAGAATTGTTGATCGAAGATTCAACTAAAATTAGATTAGATATGTTCCATATAAAAATGTAAACACGTCAATGCCAATTTGACATTATTGTATGGACTCCATCTAGTATTAGTTAAATCTAGATTTAGCGAAATTGCTGCAAGTTGACCTGAGTAAAAAAATTTTAATCGAGATCATAATGATTATTTTATTTGTTTGATAAAAGGCAGTATCCGTACTACATACTAATAATATTAATTACACTGTGGCAATGTAAAGCAAAAAAAGTATACGTAAAATAAGTAGTTGATAAAGTTGGTCCTTTACTTACTAGTGGAGTATTAGTCACAGTAAAGAGAAGGTTGACGAGACGATTTCTATCCGGGTTTAGGCACAGTTTTAAACGTCCGATCATCAATAAACTATGGGACACTATGGAGACACAAAAAAGATATAACAGAAGGTAATCTACACATTCAAACTGAGCGCGAGCAACGCACACTTAGACGCCGCTCATACGACACGATATCTTGAACCAGTTCAGACCACTACAAGCGCGAGTTCCACCCGTTTGAGACACGCGTGTCTGCGAACTTTTTTGTACAAAAATGGAGACACAGAAAATTAGTTAATTAGTTACATATATCTGTTCAGCAGACGATTGTTTGAATTCAACATTAAGCGGTCAATTTTAATTTGTATTAAAAAACAACTTTAATATTGACATATTTTACTTATTATTGTTTTATATTTCTGTTCCTTCTGTTTAATTCTCAACAATAAATCGAAGAAATAGATACGAATGCCACTACCGCGAAAGTTTTTGGCCGTAAGTCAATGTTGATAATCCTAGCGTGACCGCCGAGCGTAGGTATGCAAAGTGAAGTACGTACATGAGATTGCCTTCTGTTATGTCTATTTTATGATTGAGGTTTGTTACAGGACGCGGCACGGAACTCTAGCGCTGAAAAAACGCCCTCTAGTTGAGCCGACCCCTCAGGTTCGAATGGTCTAGAGGCTCCAGACGGAGAGGAGATTCCCCCCGTGGGGAGATGCCATCCGCCTGGAATACCTCTAGAAGCACTCGCCAATTCTCAGCTTGAGGTCCCTTTAGGATCTCGCCGTCCCCAAACCCGTCGACACTGTAAAGTTCATCTGCGACCAACAGCATACATACTCAAAAAAAAGCTGAATAAAACGCTGGGGGGATAGCTGCGCATGGGTACAACTGGAGAGACAATCGGCACAACGCACGCCCACCCGCGCACCTCGTTTCCCCCCAACACATCTTAATTTCTACTTCAGCGCAATAACAGCCAGCGCAACATTTTCGTGCCGCGACTTATAACGACACCGGCGCTAGCGACTGTTTGGGGTCGTTTTAAAAAGTACAAGCTCGTGAACAAGCTCAGCCTGCATCGGCCCGGGTATAAAGAGTATAAACCATGCCTAGACACGGCGGAAAACCGGTCGTTTAAAACACCCTTTATCGATTTTCGCTTGAACACAAAATCAAGTTGTTTTTTTTATACTGTAAAGACAGAAAAACAAGCAATTTCCGCATAAAATTAAAAAAACGATCATACATTATTGTCAATCATCACTTCTTTGAAGAATATTTTCAAACATTATTACCGATTCTTACATGAATCAAGCTGTAACCATGCGGTGACAATATATTTTTTATGTTCAGGCGACAACCCTAATATAAAAAAAAAACTTCAAAATTATTCCAAATGTTTTAAACGATTATGACTTTAAATATCAAAAGTTTAAATAAGACTATGGACTATTGAGACAAAAATGGATATTAGGTATATTTAAAAATGAAAAGAATCCGGGCTGGCATAAAAAAACCGGTACATTTATTGGCAGTGACTGAAAGTTTGTTGTTATAGAAAGTCTCATTATTTGTAGAAAAAAATCAGAAAAGCAGTGAGAAACACTATCGAAGAACTTAAAACTAACAATTATTTATCATATATCTAAAATATAATATACAAGAGGATTATATGTATTAAATGACTAAAATATTGACTGATGTAAATACAGTATGGTCCCATTATATCTATATAATGCCTTTTCACACGTTTCGTTTGCCATTGTCTAACCTGGTACTAGACGAACTGTTAAATATTTTTCGAAATTGACGAGCTAACTGTGTTAATATGCAAGATCGGTTTAAATCAAATAATTCATTGCTGTTACAAAGATGGTAAGATTGATGCCATGAAAGTACCCTGCAGGATTCAAATTAGGGTATGGAAATAGTAGGTAACAAAAATTTTGTGCTTATTTACTACTGGGCTAGGTACCTATACAAAATGTTTTGTCCAGCCCTAATACTATAACAATGTATCGGCATTTATTAACAACGTATAATATCGAACTGTAATGATTTTGGCGTACTGTCAGCTTTATATGTGGAGCTAGCGTTATCTGTGAATCGAGCGTTATGTGTTGAGCTAGCGTTTTATTTATTAATTTATTGCATATCATATTACATTTCGGATGGTACATTCATGACTATCCTAACTAAACTTGTGGCGCCCTGAAAGAGCATCGCAATATGTATGTGAAGCTAGCATTGTTTCTGTAGATCTAGATTGACTCCACCTTATTACAAAACGTAGATTAAAGTTAAATCTGGACTAAAACTAATGTTGTCACTTTTTTTTGCTAAAAACAAGACAGAGGCAACATAAGGTTTAAACCAAGATTAACTTCAGTACGCGTTTTGGATTAAAGCGGATTATGTATAGCTAGCGTTGTATGTGGAACTAGCGTTGCGTGTGTGGCTAGTGTTATATGTGAAACAAGCATTATATTTGGTAGATCTATCGTTATGGTTCAGTAGGCTCGGATGTATTGGAAGGAGGACACGCGTTGGTGAGTAGTTCCCCGCCGCTCTCCGTGATGGCGACCGTCTTATGGTAGTTGATGAGATCAGCTGTAACAACACAATACAACATTTAGTTTATGAATTGGTGCACGTACAATAATTCCCCATGTGCATCTATCCCTACTGGTAAGAATACGTGGATAAAAAATCAGTTATGGCTATTCTATGGTTTCAATTTGATTAGAAAGCCTTTGCCCCAGCAGTGGGGACATTAATAGGTTGATGATGGTTATGTATAATACCATAGTCACTTAAGCGATAAAAATGAGTCAACCGCGGAATAAGCGATATTAAGATTGAAACTTATTTATTTTTCTGTGTTGGAAACTTTTGTAATAGCGTAACCACAGTATGACTGGATAGCATTTAAAGCGCTCTCAGAAACTACCCGCGGCTTGCCCTGTATGCCTGGATTACCTAATGTTTGATGGACTCTAAGAAACTACCCACGGGCTGCCCTGTATGACTGGATTACCTAGCGTTTGATGGGCTCTAAGAAACTACCCATGGGCTGTCTTGTATTACTAGATTACCTAACGTTTGATGCGTTCTAAGAAACTACCCGCGGGCTGCCCTGTATGACTGGATTACCTAGCGTTTGATGCGCTCTAAGAAACTACCCGCGGACTGCCATGTATGATTGGATTACCTAGCGTTTGATGCGCTCTAAGAAACTACCCGCGGACTGCCATGTATGATTGGATTACCTAGCGTTTGATGGGCTCTAAGAAACAACCTGCGAGCTGTCTTGTATGACTGGATTATCTAGCGTTTAATGCGCTCTAAGAAACTGCCCGTGGGCTGCCCTGTATGAGAACATTACCTAGCGTTTGATGCGGCCGCTGCGCCGCCCCCAGCAGGCGGTACCCGGCGCCGGTGTCGATGAGGTAGTGCTTGCAGCGCGCGGGCTCGCGACCGCGGTACGAGATGGCGTACCCCCACACTCGCTCCGAGATGCGCACAAGGAAACTGCCCGCGGGCTGCCCTGATAGCAGTTGTTCTGCTTCCGACCTGGTTATCAAACCTGCGAAACGGATATTGCAACAATTCGTAATGAAATGAAATGAAATTATACTTTTATATTTTTTAAGCATTTAACTGCTAGATATTGAAACCTAAAGAAAATTTTACTAGAAAAAAATCCACGCGGACCAGGCAGCCGATGGGACTCGAACCCGCACCCTTCTCTATCCGGGCGCATGCACTGCCCATTATGCTACAGCGTACATAATTGTAAAAGTATTCATACGACATTGTGGGTTATTCGACACGGCCATCAAGGCCGCGGTAGCATAATGGTCAGTGCATTCGCCCGGATAACGAAGGGTGCGGGTTCGAGACCCGTCTGCTGCCTGGTCCGCGTGGATTTTTCTAATGAATTTCTTTTGAATCATCCAATATTTTATAAGGCGATAAGACTGCCTTTTCCCACATTATTGTTATATTTATCCATTTTACCTATGTCCTTTTGTATGTGAGCAATAATGTGTTTATTATTATTATATTTTCTACCACCCATTCAGGACAGCTTTTAGCTGATGAGAAGAATGGACGCAAGACGCATCAGCATTTAACTGAAGTAGCAACATTTGCATAAAATCATGTCGCTACCAATACAACGTCCACTCACATTCATTTTTGATTGCTGTGTTATACAGTAAAAACAAATAGAGTTTATAAGCTTTTGATATATTTCTTACGAAGGAGGGTCAAGAATTTCACTTAATGGAGGGGATGTAGTGATGTTTATTTAACTAGCAGTACTTGTCGTCTCAATACACTTATTACTTCCAAGTTTCAGTATAATCGGATCATTAAATTTTGAGATACTACATAATAAACAAGCCATTCAGAAAAAGAGTATTATGGAAAGCTACTAAGAAGAAAATCCAATTTAGCCGTGATTAAGATCCTACTTATCAACGAAAACACCGCAGAATCCGCAGATCATTATGCAAGTGATATCACCTGTTTACGAGGACTCTTGCCCGATGATTTAGAAGTGGAATAACTTATTTAAGCAGGGCAGAGAATCGATTGAATATGACCAACTTTGAAATCGAAATCCTCAGAAGCTGACGAAAAAGTTGAAATCTTATTGTCAATGCTGCACTTTTAAAGAGAAAAAATCGCGAACATGAAATGAATTGAAATGAAATGAAAAGTCATTTATTCAGTCTAGGCTGTTACAAGCACTTGTGAAGGTCAAGAAGCTACGCCATCGGTTCGCAAAACTACGGCGGGAGACCTTGTACTGAGAAGAACCGGCAAGAAACTCAGCAAGAGCTGTTTTTTTCTCCCTGTATTGTTATATACAGAGTCGTCAAGTTGAAAAATGACTTCAGAGATACGTTTGAAGTCACATTCCATGAGCGGGTGTATCATCTGAAACGATTTCGAACATTCTTCATAACCACCTTGGCATGACAAAAGTAAGATGTGGACGCCAAACTATAGCTTTCCACGACCACGTTATATTTGACCCATTGCTCCATGGTTTAGCCATATGCGTTTTGCAAAATACCTTTCTGTGTCCCACCCACCCATTTCCATAAACCTTCCATAAAGTCACTGTATTACTTCAAATCAAACAGAATTTCGTACAATCTATATATATAAAACTCAAAAACTCAAAGGTGACTGACTGACATAGTGATCTATCAACGCACAGCCCAAACCACTAGACGGATCGGGCTGAAATTTGGCATGCAGGTAGATGTTATGACGTAGGCATCCGCTAGGAAAGGATTTTGATCAATTCTACCCCCAAGGGGATAAAATAGGGAATGAAAGTTTGTATGAAACTTTATCTATTTTAAACCGATCGGGCTGAGACTTTGCATGCAGGTATAAGAAGAATCATAGATGAATGTCATTGTGTATAATTCAAGCCTGAGAATAAAAACTGTAGTCTACACTTCAGCTCTACACCGAAGCGAAGCGAGGGCGGGCCGCTAGTTAATAATAACTTACCGTGGAACCAATCGACAGGCTTGTTATTCTCGTCCAGACCGACGCCTTTTTTCAACTCTTTCGTTCTGAACCATTCCATGACTGCTTCTCTGCTCGGGGGTTTGCCAGCTACCAACAATATTTACACAATTAATGGGTATTTTTCGTGAGTTTCTCTTAGCATCGTAATTTTGTTAGCATTTGTAAAAGTCAGTGCTCTAATCAGGGGCGTATTTTAAATCTGGTAAATCAAATCAAAATATAGGTCAGTACCGAATGCCTTTATAGGGCCATGTCCCCGTAGCATGAGCACCACAATTTACATTATATCATGTGTTTTATCGTGTCTAACTGTCAAACTCCACAGTAATTTAACAATTGAGCGTGATAAAAACGTGTTATATCTCATATCGCGATGCTCATACTAGGGGGGAGGATCCTCTTGGCCCTAGGGCAAACACGCCCCTGGCTCTAATAGTCACACTGCAGAAAGTAAAGATGGCAAATCACCCTGTTAACTATTTTCTAATTACAGGCCATAAGGTTTAGTTCTTTTAGCGCAATAAGTAATCAAAGCTTCGCAGTGCAGTTGTGTACCTCTCCCACGAAGGACTGACACCGTGTAGATAGCTAAGTAGGTCAGTATAATAATAATAATGAATATTTTCAACACTCACACCAATTAGCCCAGCCCCAAAGTAAGTACTGTAGGCTTATGTTATGGGATACTAGGGTAACGGTCTATACATATACTGATAATACCATATCTTTATATATATAATTCTTCTGTGAGTGTGTATGTCACTGAACTTCTCTTAAACGACTGGACCGATTTTGATGAAATTTTTTGTGTGTGTTCAAGGGGATCTGAGAATGGTTTAGATTCACAATTTTGTCCGCTGGACAACCCCTATTTTTTTTAGGGCGGTACGAAGTTCGCTGGGTCAGCTAGTTTAAGTATATTTATCTAGAAAAACATCCATAACTGGAGTACAAATCCTTGTTTTTTCACACAAACATCTGCCCCCACTGGGATTCATCGCCACGGAGGTCATCGTCTATGTGTTATACATACATAGTTTTTACTCTGCGGTAGTTCAATCAGTGTGACGGCGCTTCCACTTCTTTCGCCTTCCTCTCTGTACGCCTACCGCACTATATACCATGTAGCTACGTAGGCTAGGTTTATATGGTTCTTAATCTTCGGTAATTTAGGTGGCTATCTCCCACATCACCGCTTCCACTTCCTTCGCCTTCCTCTCTGTTCGCCTGCCGCACTATTGCCTATGTAGGTAGCTAGGTAGGTTAGTATGGATTACATGGTACTTACTCTGTGGCACTTCAGGTGGCTATCTCCCGCATCACCGCCTCCACTTCCTTAGCTTTCCTCTCTGTTTGTCTGCCGCACTATAGACTATGTAGGTAGGTGAGTGTGGATTATAGGGTTCTTACTCTGTGGTAGTTCAGGTGGAGTTACAGAGCCGAGCGCGCTGCGTCGATGCGCCTCGCGCGCGGCTCGAGCTATCTCCCGCATCGCCGCCTCCGCTTCCTTCGCCTTCCTCTCTGTAACGAACAAACAATTTTAGTTTTGTTAACCTGCATAACATAATAACATCATCATCAGCCTATTAGTATCCCCACTGCAGAGGCCTTCCCTATGGATGGAATAGGGAAACTGTGGACCAACGCCTTCCGAAGCACGGAGGAGTTCAAGATAATAAGTTTTGGTCACCCATCTAATAATCGACCATTGTGTAACTTGCTTAATTTTCACGATCGCAGGCCGAATGCGCCAATCACCTGCGCCATCGAGCTCCACCAAGCAGCATACTCACCCTGCTCCCGCCAGGCGGCGTCGTGGTCGCGCGCGTGCAGCTGTGCGTCCCGCAGCGTGCGGGCGCGGATTTACTCACCCTGCTCCCGCCAGGCGGCGTCGAGGTCGCGCGCGTGCAGCTGTGCGTCCCGCAGCGTGCGGGCGCGGATGTACTCACCCTGCTCCCGCCAGGCGGCGTCGAGGTCGCGCGCGTGCAGCTGTGCGTCCCGCAGCGTGCGGGCGCGGATGTACTCACCCTGCTCCCGCCAGGCGGCGTCGAGGTCGCGCGCGTGCAGCTGTGCGTCCCGCAGCGTGCGGGCGCGGATGTACTCACCCTGCTCCCGCCAGGCGGCGTCGAGGTCGCGCGCGTGCAGCTGTGCGTCCCGCAACGTGCGGGCACGGTTGTACTCACCCTGCTCCCGCCAGGCGGCGTCGAGGTCGCGCGCGTGCAGCTGTGTGTCCCGCAGCGTGCGGGCGCGGATGTACTCACCCTGCTCCCGCCAGGCGGCGTCGAGGTCGCGCGCGTGCAGCTGTGCGTCCCGCAGCGTGCGGGCGCGGATGTACTCACCCTGCTCCCGCCAGGCGGCGTCGAGGTCGCGCGCGTGCAGCTGTGCGTCCCGCAGCGTGCGGGCGCGGATGTACTCACCCTGCTCCCGCCAGGCGGCGTCGAGGTCGCGCGCGTGCAGCTGTGCGTCCCGCAGCGTGCGGGCGCGGATGTACTCACCCTGCTCCCGCCAGGCGGCGTCGAGGTCGCGCGCGTGCAGCTGTGCGTCCCGCAACGTGCGGGCACGGTTGTACTCACCCTGCTCCCGCCAGGCGGCGTCGAGGTCGCGCGCGTGCAGCTGTGTGTCCCGCAGCGTGCGGGCGCGGATGTACTCACCCTGCTCCCGCCAGGCGGCGTCGAGGTCGCGCGCGTGCAGCTGTGCGTCCCGCAACGTGCGGGCACGGTTGTACTCACCCTGCTCCCGCCAGGCGGCGTCGAGGTCGCGCGCGTGCAGCTGTGCGTCCCGCAACGTGCGGGCACGGTTGTACTCACCCTGCTCCCGCCAGGCGGCGTCATGGTCGTTCGCGTGCAGCTGCGCGTCCCGCAGCGTGCGGGCGCGTCGAGCTCGCAGTCCGCGCAGGATGTCGCCTGCGCGCGCCGCCGCTACGCGACGCTCCCACGCTGCCACGCGATTGCTCACGCCGTCGCCGGTCGTAGACAAACCGAGATCCTGCAATACAAGAGCCTATTGAAACAGTGTAGATATTTAATTACCTACAGTGAAACTATCTATGGCTATAAAATCTCTCGAAATTTTGGAAACACCTGAACGGCATATCCTTTACAAGTGTATGGCAATTCTAACTCATTTCCACACTTGTCCCGGTATCCCCACCCACTTGCCCGCTTGCTCAAGATATGCCCGTCAGTCGACTGTAGGAAAATCTAATTTAACTGTGCTATGCCCATTAAGAATTCCATCTCGATACGCTTCAAATGTCAAGAAGTTTTGCATGGAAGATTTTTAATTCTCGTTACGTCCGTTATTTACATTTCCATACAAAAGCTTCTTGACAAATATCGAACTCATATTCGAATTCGATATTGGTTTGTGGTTTGGTTCCAGTGGTTTGGTACAGATTAAGACTAAATAATGATTTCAGTTACCTGTAAAACGTCTCGCTTCCCTTCGATGAAGTTGAAGTTCAGTGTGTTCTTCAGTTTCATGTTGTCCCCGAACTCAGTTTTCTCGGCTAATTTGTTGATCTCGTCCTTCTCCGAAAGTTTCACCTCGGGCTCCAATGCTTCGATGCGCTGGCGCAGTTCGTCCACTGTGCAGTAGATTTCCAAGCTGTCCTCTAACGGGTCGATACTTTTTGGAGACAGATCAAATTTCTGCAATGAAATGGAAAATATTCTGCATTTTATTTTGTTTATTTTTAAGCATTTAACTGCTAGATGTTTAAATGTAAAGATTTTTTTACTATGTATAGCGGAGGGTGCGACTTCCAGTCCCGTCAACTGCCTAGACCGCGTGGACGTTTTTCTAGTATTATTTTCTTGAAATATTCTGTATTCAAATTAGCAGCAACAAAACAACAAAAAGAAATTGATTTCTGCTTTGAAGTATTCTGCGACGATGTGAATTCGTAACACCTTTTACAATTTTGAAAGGTCTTGGGAATTAAGCTTTATGTTGAACGATAATACTTTTAATGGCTATTATTTACAAGTTATTCTTCTGTCTCATTATATATTTATAATCGAAATCCTCAATCAAAAATGAACTGAAAATAAGGTTAACGCTAAGTTTGACTAGGTTTTAAAAGGATAAAGAGATAAGGAGAAACTAATAGTTTTATTTTAGATACCTAATCTTGTCTCCCAAATATTGACGTTACCATTTCAATGGGCTTATATAACACGAATATACGAGAACTTGAACTCTTTTTAGATGATTTTATCTTCTATCTTTGGTTGCTATTGTAGTACTTGTAAAGATAAAAGATAAACAAACATGTAAATTATCAGGCTCCAGGTACATGGCAAACTCAAACTGACTGATATTCAGACTCGCAGCCTACGATTATTCTCCCTATGGTAACATCATGTTCATTGTACAATGAATTCCACATCAATGCTACTTTATATTTTGATTGTGTTTGATAGCAGACCTAAGTTAGTAGGTACCTACTTGAAATTAAATTACACCTTCTCAGTCTTCTAACGAACTGATAGACAAAAAAGTGAAACTGTAAGGCGAGGGACACACAGAAAAGACGTAAGACATCGGTGGTAAGAGGCAGACGAGGCACGGACATAAATTATGTCCCTTCCGAATCTTTTTCATACTAAACGTTCATAGAGAAGAGTCGCATCGCAAACTATAAAGAAAAAACAGGGCGCGGACACGACGCTTCTTTATTTTGTGTGAAACTAAGAATGTCCGCACTCCGTCTGCGTCTAACCTCTTTTCTATGTGTCCTATGGGTAGCGATTTTATTTTCTTCAGAGGTAGAGAATTCTACTGGGATTGCGTGGTTGATTCCCAACAAGGAACCCATGTCGTCGTCATCGGCAAGGAGATAGCACATCCCGGAGTTTTGGTGGGTAGAGCCAATCCGTCCCGAGCAGCCATTGAGTCAGCCTTGGTCGGCTGGATGGGTGGGCATGAGATGAGGACAAGAGTCCCACAGAACCTCGTCGCCTGACGCAGCGGCAGAGTATGCGTAACGCGTTCCTCCTGATAAGAACAAGGTGGAGATTCCTAAAAACTTTACACACCTGTTCCAAGCTATCTAACGGCTCGTATTCTATGAGTTGCGTGAGTTCCTTCTCCACGGACTTGCGGAGCTGGTGTGCCTCCTCCCTAGCCTGCTGCAGCGCTCGCTGGCGTGCCTCCTCAGTGAGGATGCTCTCTATGGACTTGTCGTCGGGGTGCTCACCCATCACCCAAACCTGCAATAGGTTAACTGATAATTAAAGCTATGATTCAATCCTCTCGCTAAAGAGTTTAACATCACGGTATTTTCGGTAATAATACAATAATAAATAATAATAAAGGATAGGTAAGCTCTCCCGTGTTTTGGACGCAAAGGGTTTGTGTCCTGGGTTTGTCTGTATCAATCAGTACCCTTAGCAGGAACCATTATCAAATTCGTATAGTCGGATTCGATCTAGATATACGTGAAATGTGTACTTATTTTTAGTTCTCGTTACCTCCTTTGTAGCGCTGCTATTCAAGTTTCCATACAAAATTTGACATTGACATTTCGCATTTGCAAAATTTTCGAATTAGATATTGGTTCCTTCCGAGCATTGGGTCTGCGTAAAGGGTTATGTTATGGCCCTTTCCTCTTATTCTTCTTATGTGGTTCTTTCATATTCTCATAGTGAAAACCTACTCTCCAGCAGCCGGGATATTACGCTGGTTACGATGATAAAGAAATCCATAAAGAATACTTAAACTACCATTCAACTGAGTAGTGGAGCTCTTATCAAATCCAAAAACTCATTAAAAATAAAGGCCACCAAAAAGTCTTAAGTCAGACAGCAATTTTTTTTAACAAATCGCATTACACGGAACTCTCATTTTATATTAAAAACACTTTAAGTCTTAAGTTGTTAATAATATTATTGCATCGTAATCACTTTGCACTCAACTCAACAAATTATTTCCGTAAAACCTAACAGAGCTTCGATTTATTTCTAAAAATTCACCTTGAGCTAACAATTGAGAGAAGGTCCACCCGGCCTTTGAATCTTTGATGCCGCATCTAAATCAACAATTTGTCAGCTTCGTAGGTGTAACGTTTAGGTATTGTGCAGATAGAATGTTGCTAAGTAAAACGGCTATAAATACCCTTGATATCGACTTTACAATATGATTGAACTAATTCTAGAGAGGGGATATTTGATTGCAAATCCTGCTTAAGCCCTTATTGTTTTAAACGATGCAGTTTCTTAAATACAACTCTGGTGTCTCTGCCCTGTATGTGATGTGATCCACATAACGCAATATTCCTCTACGGACGGCTAATGATAGCCCTCTTTTTCGTGTAACGCAGTTTTTCATCATCATCATGATCACCAGCTTATTAATGCCCCTACTGCTGGGCAATTTTCAATGTTTGAATGATATAAAAAAGCGCCTTACATAGTCTTTCGATTACTATCATGTTATAATGTATTATTACATTATGTTTAATTATGAAAGTAAAGAAATTTCAAAATTCAATAAATTCACTGCTGGGGCACAGGCCTTCCCTATGAATAGAAAAGGAAGATTGGGCCGTACGTAACCCACCACGCGGGGCCAGGCCCACATGGATGGTGCTAACTACTGCAGATGCAGCCGGGACCAACGGCTTAACGTGCCTTCCGAAGCACGGAGTAGTTCGAGATTATAAGTTTTTGATCACCCATCCGGTGACCATCACCATTAGGAAAGTTGCTTAACTTCCACGATCGTAGGCCGAACGCGCTAACCACCTGCGCGCCATCGAGCTCCTCAGTTTTTCACAGTTGTCTTTTATTAACGATGTTGTGTTAAAGATATTTTTTAATTTTTTAACACACTAATTAGCTTAGCCCCAATGTAAACACTGTAAGGCTTGTATTATGGGATACTAGTGTAACGGACAGAATACATGTACTGTACATAATATAAAAGTATATTTATATAGAAATACATATTAAACATTCATGACTAGAGCACAAAAGCTCGTATTCATCACACAAACATCTGCCCCCACCGGGATTCGAACCGGGACCTCTCACCCCCCGGGACTAGGCGATACCATGAAACCCAGCGTACAAACCACTTGGCCACGAAGGTCGTCATTGTCACGGATATGATACGTAGAAATAGTACTCTTCTCAAGATATCCATAGTTTATTGTGTTATATCGGCAGTGTTGCCACCTTGGTGGTTTTTCCACCAGAACTGGTGCTTTTCCACGGCTTCTAGTGGTATATTTTCATCATCTAACGGGTAAATTTTTTTAGTGGTTTTTTAACATGAAATCTAGCAACATATTTTTAAGGGGGAAATGCCCTAACTTTCCGAAATGTCATAATGTTCTATGTGGTTACTCACAGTTATTTCTGTAGTATCTCATACATATTCACTGGTTTTTTATTTAAATTAGGGTTTTTTGTTATCGGAGATGTAATTGTAATTTAGCGGATTTTGGTGTATTTTATTAAATCCAAATTTTTGAAATCTGGCGATTATTTTCCTTTGACTTGGCGCCTTAAAAAAATCCAAGGTGGCAACACTGTATATCGGCACTACGACACCCGGTTTTGTGTTTGGCAGATCGTAATCATCAATGGTTGGCATTGAAACATTATGTGCGGTACTGCGGTTACATTAACAAAAGTAGGTCGTACAATATTTTGCTTTTGGAAATGATGTAATTCATATTGTATCCATAGGTACTTATTATTTTAATAGAAGCTTCTGAAATTTATTATAATTGAGCAGTTTTTTTTTTATTAGCAGCGATCCTGCTGTAAGTGTTAGTAGCATTGGGTTCGAATTGTGTGATTAGAAGTTTTTGACGTGACAACGTCTTAAATTAGGTTGCGGCTGGGAGTCACTTATGAAAAAGTGTAACGCTCGGTAACGTTACGATGAGTTTAAGTTTACGTGTACAATGTTTTAGTAAACAAAATATATTTCTATAGTTAAAATTTGTGCAATTCTTATTTTCATTCAATTCCTTGTTCCTATTGTGCAATTTAATTATATTCATATCAATAAATATTCTACCGAGAAAAAGACGTTGTCACGTAAAATCTTCGCCCGTAAAACCGACTTTACAGGCAACCATTTTTTTTTTTAAATTCTAATATATAAAATTCTCGTGTCGCGGTGTTTGTGGTTAAACTCCTCCGAAACGGCTTTCCCGATTCTCATGAAATTTTGTGTGCATATTGGGTAGGTCTGAGAATCGGACAACATCTATTTTTCATCTATTTTTCATCCTTAAATGTTAAGGGTAACACCTCCCCCCCCCCCATTTTTTTTTAAAATTTTAGATATTTTTTTTAAATTTTTTTATGATACAGCATTAGTAAATACATATAACCCTGAATTTTCAACCCTTTACAATCAACCCCTATTTTTTTATGGCGGTACGAAGTTCGCTGGGACAGCTAGTAGCAAATATAAGTATGTTTAATATATCCGCATTCATATATTAGTTCTTTTCGTTAAATTCTAGCATGAGTCTCCAAACTTAAAACTAAATTTATGATTAGGCTCTCCTTTTCATTTTGTGACATGGATGATATGACAAGGATACGCTGTTGTCAAATTTTATTTCAGGTTTATAAGATCACACCAGAATCGACACCATTGTTTCCCTAGCCATGATATTTAGTATACATACACTGACTGTACTGGGTTAACACGTTAATGAAAGCAAATGCAACTCAAAGAGCCCATCGAGTATGCCTCTCAAAATGATCCGATGACCAGAAATAACTTCCAAACGTACAGAGCGACTTACCCATGGCTCACCGTCTTCTCCTTTCAGGAACTGGACTTGTTTCTTCCCATTCTTCTGGAATTTGGGCTGATCGTCCTCCTTGCTCACCTTCTGGTCCCAGATCTGCCATCGACGCACCTGGTAAGTATAAATCATTTTCAATGTTAACTTGAACACTACAGTATTATAACACTATCACTTATTATTATTTGTTATAACACTATCCGGCTCGAAGGACCAAATTCTTCTCTGTTATGGACAGAGGGAAAAACTATGTTGTTGTAATAAATATTATTTATTGCGCTCAATTACAATCAACGCGGCGCCATTGGCATCCGTAGAAGCGAGAGAGAACAAAAACGGAAACGGATACATTAGTTGTTACCACAGACTAACAGATACAATCATAGATTAAATTAATATTGTGTTTGTCTATAACAGAAGTTACTGTTGGGCACGTGGCTGGCTGGAGACTGGGATTGTGACACCGATATAACCACCCACATTGAAGTCACCCGTAATGCATTCAACAGTTTGGAAAAAGTGTTTACTAACCGTAACCGTAGGCTTAACATTAAACTCTGATGTCGGCTTCTACATTTACAATGTCTAGCTAATACTTCTATACGGATGCGAGTCTTGGACTATCAAAATAGATGTTTAAATCTAAAGAAAAGTTTACTGCGGCGGACGGTAAGCGGACGGGCTGCTGCCTGGCCCGCGTGGATTTTTTTCTAGTAAACTTTTCTTTAGATTTAAACATCTAGCAGTTAAATGCTTAAAAAATAAATAAAATCATAACTATAAAAATATAGTTTGTAAAACGTATAGAACCATTCGAAATTCGTTAGTTGGACTGAAATGGTCCCAAATGGTGATGATGAGATCCTGCGGCGTGTTGGTAAGAAACGCGAAATTTAGGATACTATCAGAGTGAGGAAGGTTGCCTTCCTAGCACACGTGATTAGACACGAAAGATACTCCTCTCTTACTGCTTATAAATAATGATAGGTGATGTCGCAGCAAAACGTCGGTCGCAGGAAGTTTTGGTTGAGGAACCTGCGAGAAAGGACTGGAATCTCGAGCGCTGCGGAATTATTCCATCTCACTAAAGAAAAGAAGATTTATGCATAGCTGACTGCCAACCTTCATTGTTTAGAGAGACACTAGTAGAAGAAAAAATCTCTTCATAATGAAAACAATGTGTAGGACGCCATTGATTGCGGTGCTGCAAAATCCCATATCCCATGTTGTCATTAGTGGAATAAAAGTCCCGGAATCGATAAATCTTTATTAGGAAATCGTAAGCAGGAAATCTAAAGTCAAAGAGCGGACTCTTCAATTGATTTCTCCGGTATGATGAACAAGCAGCAGTTTCAATAACTCAGGCAATTGTTCGCATTAACTGTTCATTCCACCTGTCATGATAGCAAGTTACTCAGCATGACTCACGTATTTCCTAAATATTGCCCATTCTTCAAAAACATTGGAAATTGTGAAATCTTATGATTTTATTTGTATAGTACAGGGGACATATGTGGAATAAAAATAGTGTCGATAATCTTTAATTCTGGTGGTTTAACAGTAATAATAAAATTCACATTTCGAGTTCAAATTCATACTTCGTATTTTCATTTTATTCGAGCTGGCGGTCGACTTTGCATATGTCTAGACTAAATTTTAAGGACTAAGGGAAAAACAGGCTTAGCCCATTTTCTCTTAAAATATTGTTTTGGAATCTATGGTCACAAAAATACTCTTTCATCTTATGGCTATCACACGACAAGGTAAAATACGCTGTCTTTATTTTTTTTACCTATTTCTTTCCTAGACTGTTAGGTTGTTTTAATGAAATATTAGTTATTTTGTCTTATTGTGCAATTTTTATTCGGAAAATTAGTACATGTACTTGTAGTATACTACATAAATTATTATATGTACTTGTAGTAAACTAAATTTACTTTTTAAATCGACTGGGGCGCTGCATAGTTTTCATAGAATCATTGACATGGCGAAACGAAAACTTTCTCGCTAGTTGTTAGTGCATGGGGTACAGGTTTGAATCTAGTCAAGTAGATTTTTTATAAAAAATACTATGAATAATTTAGATATCCCAGTGTAAAATTTAATTGTTGCAACAAATTCTATTAGCAATCTGAAAGTTAATTGAAGCGTTAAGCTGACAATAGATAATCTTTGATCAAGGAAATTCTATTAGTAGTCTGATGCGGTGACAACAAAAACCGGTTTCTCGCGCATTCCCACGTAATTAAGCTACAAATTGGCATCTATTCTTGGTGTGAGCAAAAACGGCGTAAAATTATCGAAGGTGTGGTAAGAGTGTCTTGGTGGCTCCGTGGACACGGTTCGAGACAGACAAATTCGTCATTAGGGGGCCCAAACTTTGTACGTTCTTAGAGATTTTTTTCGTCGAGACTCATTAATCAATATTGATATTAATTGCTAGATAGAGACTGTCTGTCTGTAATGCGTCCACGGTAAATAAATGAAAATATGTACTGGATTTTATGATAACAGAAACGTTTAAAAAAGGACAAACAAGTACTTTTTACACGCAGTCAAATTTTGGGGCACTCCTACAAACCTATACATAAAATTTAAAAACGCAATCGTATTACATGGAATTATTGAAATTGGCAGCTTCTGTGAAATATAAATTCTAACAGTTAAATGCCTAAAATGAAAATATAATAATCTCTACATCTATGAAATATTAGGCATATTTCATAGATATAGAGATTATTATATTTACCTAGAAACCTAGTTTTAAAAACTTATAATTTGAATCCTGATAAAGGTAGCTGAAGAAAATCAATGAACTGACTTTCATGAACTATTTTTGGGCAACACTGTATTTCATCTCTCGTGCTCTGTCCCGTATAGCTTTAGCTAATATAATATTTTCCGATGAGTCAGTAGCTAGGTGTGGGTGTTACAAGCCTTACTCACGCCTCGTTCATAAACGGCCCACCCACGAAGTCACCTCATTGGTAAATCTTACTGAATAATGACTTTCTACCTTATTACAAAACGTAGACTAAAGTTAAACCTCGACTTAAACTGATGCTGTCACTTTTGTTTGCTAAAAATAAGACGAAGAGAACATTATGTTTAAACCAAGACTAATCGACGATTATACTTGGTAGCCCGAATACGAGTGCCAATGGAGTAGGGTATTTGTCAAGTTTTAGGCAACGATCTCACGTTAATGATTAATGCTTATGGAGTCCGTAAAAAGTGGATATTCATCATTCTGTTGTGTATTTCAGTAAAAATAACCAAATGAAAAACTCCATTTTCAAGTTGTCGCGAAAACGTTATAACGCGTAATATTTTTTTTTAAATAGTAAAAACCCCTGCCAATATTCATTCTAAACACAGATGCTGACAATTGACACTTTATTTTTAATATTGTCACCCTATTCCGGTAAACGACTAAGTGTAAATGAATAAGAGTACGCCCGTATTGGAGTAGATTTCCTTTTGTTTACCCGACACCATCTTCCAGTCCATATTCCAATGTAAATATTGGTTCGGGTGCCCGAATTCAAGTAATGTCTTTCATGCACCCGAATACAGGCTAACGACCAAATGTAATTGCAGCATGGCTTTACTCCGCATTTTGGGATAAGGCGGTTTGAATTTAACTTTTGACCCTTTGCTCAACAATTTAACTAAACAATTACCAATCTATCCAATAACCTCTAGAATGACTTTTTGGCGGGATCGGGAAGCGCCACTTTAGCAGTATTGTTTTTCTTGTTAAAAATTGTGTCGTGGCGGATGTTAGTGTCTAATAATGGTGGATTATTAACCACTAAGTGTTCGGGAATATGCACAAGTGTTGGCAAGTGAAACAAAATAGCGGAAAGTGTCTTTCGACGTTCCCTCAAGGAGTCCACGGGTGGATCCAGTAAATCCCCACACTTTTACTGAAACATAGGGAAAGGGGGATTGACTTGATTTATTACTTTGACCACGAGTGCTATAGTATTTGTAAACATTTTAACACTTAACATTGGCTAAATGCACAAGCCGTGCGAAGCCATTTAGAAAAAAAACCTAGAATGATAAATAGGTACGTCATGGCATGCTAGAAAACACAAAGTCTGTCTATTACTTATACAACGCAAGAGTAAGAAGAGGCATAGCTGATTTTCCGCTCGAACTGGAGCGCTCGTCTGGGGAAGTTGCCTCCATCATAGTGAAGAGCACAGTAAAATTTCGCTACCTTTTGGTGGTATTGTGCGTCTGTCTGTGAATAAAGTTCCAGGGATTAGGGTATTGTGTCGGGGTAGGCAAACGGCGCCAGTGACATTTTTCTTATCGCAAGCGTGTGTGGTGGCCGTTTGCCAACAGGCCGTTTGCCTTTAAAAGAGGCGTGAAGAAGCAACATGCAGGCCGACAGCGTGAGGATGGCTGGTGTGGCAGGTAGAACTGCTGTATCAGCTATCTTCGCGTCTGGACTTCACCTTCACTTAACATCAGGTGGGGTGGAGCCATTTTACGGACCTATCTATAAAAAAAATGTGGGCTATGCTATTTTACCACTCTTTTGACATAAAAAAATACTATTTAATCGGGAAAGCTAGCATTCTGCGATTTTCTTTCGCTCTCAGTCTAGTAAGTCCCACAAATCAAATGAACTGATGTCTCCCTATCACCGCGTAGATCACAACTACAATTTAGGTACCTTACCTACCTACTTATTTACAAAACCACATTCATTTCCCGCCGAAAGAGACAATAACGACCTTGCACAAGTAACTAATGATGCATAAAACACTTTTGCCCGCAAACTTCGATAATGGCACGGACCAAAATTGTCGCTGTGTCTATATTTTTTGCGTTAAACTTGTGTTCTATTTGTAGGTATCGGACGAAATTAACAAATTTAGTCTTAAGAAAATATAACTGGGCCAGTCCCTGTAGCATGAGCACCACAATTTACATTATATTGTGGGCTTCTCCCACCATTATATTGTTTTCCATATATACCTAGTAATAAAATAAAATAAGAAGCTCGATGGCGCAGGTTGCTAGCGCGTTCGGCTGCGATCGTTGAAGGTAAGCAACTTTCGCAGTGGTCGGTCATTGAATGGGTAACCAAAAATTTACTTTCTCGAGCTCCTCTGTGCCTCGGAAGGCACGTTAAGCCGTTGGTCCTGGCTGCATTTGCAGTTGTTAGCATCCACCAATCCGCACTGGGTCCGCGTGGTGAGTCATGGCCCAATCTCCCTATTCCATCCATAGGGAAGGCCTGTGCCCCAGCAGTGGGGACATTAATAGGCTGATGATGATGATGAAATAAAATAAGTATATGTAATAAGCCCTTCTGTGACTATAATAATTGGGATAGGTAAATTAAAGTGAATATTCAAAGTGACGTGTTTGATTTGAACGTAGACTCGATGTCTGCCTATATATTCCATCTACCTACCTTACCATAATATCATGTTTTTTATCGCGTTTAACTGTCAAACTCCAAAGTAATTTTACAATTGAGCGTGATAATAACGCGTTATATTGCTATAGAACGCGTTTTTATCTAGTATCGCAGTACTCATGCTAGGGGGGCAGGCAGCAGACAGGACTCGAACTAAATAAAATTATTACTAAACTAGCAGCCCGCCCTCGCTTCGCTTCGGTGTAGAGCTGAAGTGTAGACTACAGATTTTGTTCTCAGGCTTGTATTATACACAATGACATTCATCTATGATTCTTCTTATACCTGCATGCAAAGTCTCAGCCCGATCGGTTTAAAATTGACAAAGTTTCATACAAACTTTCATTCCCTATTTTATCCCCTTGGGGGTAGAATTGATCATAATCCTTTCTTAGCGGATGCCTACGTCATAACATCTACCTGCATGCCAAATTTCAGCCCGATCCGTCCAGTGGTTTGGGCTGTGCGTTGATAAATCACTATGTCAGTCAGTCCCCTTTGAGTTTTATATATATAGATTTAGTTTTAATTAATTATGATCGAATGGATGATGTCATGGTTTGTTTTCTATTTTAGGGTTCCGAACCCGAGACCTTATTACTGACGCTCCCCGTTGGTCTTACGAACAGGTAAAAACTTTACGATCCAACCTTGAAGATTCAGATTTTCTGTGAAATCCGGTGGTGGTATTTGAATTTGCCCCCTTGATTCATTGAAACTTTGGAAGGAATAGAATCCGTAGTATTCAAGTTTGGTGACACTGCCTGTGCCCTATCTGTATCTCTAGCGTAAATCAAGACAAGTATGTCTATAGGAGACGGTTAATAGGGATGATCACGGGGTAAAATAAATGAAATTTAGTTCTGTGGGACCAAGCCATGCTGGATTTGCGCGAGCTCAAGGTGGAGAACTGGAGAGAGGTGGTGCATGACAGACCGAGATGGCGATTCTTATTGTCAGAGGCCAAGACCCACTTCGGATCGCTGCATTATCGTAGTAAGTAAGTGTCATTCCTGTTAGGAGATGGGTGCATCACCTGTTCCTCTCGCATCTTGCAGAACAGCGTCTGCTTCTGCGTCTCGTCCAGCTCAGCCAGGATCTCGGGGTCCACCCACATGTCGCGCAGTATCTGCTGCAACATTTTGTCGCCCCTGGAACGAAGAGAAAAACTTTATTTATCTCATACAAGTACCTAGATTACCAAATATTTTTGTTTGATAACGGATTGGAATGTTTGTGATGTTATATGTAATGGTAAAGGAAAGGAAAGAAAAAATATTCCTGATGGTCACGTGTGTCTCGCCAGTTCTTCTCAGAAGTTTTGTCGAGTTCGGAAGGAAATGGTGGTTAGAGGTAGTTAGAGGCAAACAAATAAAACACAATTATAAATTTATTTGTTTAAAACTTGATAAATAAATAATAATTTAAATTTTTATCATCAGAAAAACCCTTTAGTTTTTTTTTCAACGAAGTAAATAGTAAACAATTTTTTACAAGGTGTAGTAGCTGAAGTAGTTTAAGGTTCATACTGTAAAAGAATTTTTAGCAAAATTTATAAAACTTCACTCTTCTGGCCACGAAGCCGGTAAGGAACCGCAATTTTAGTTATGAAAAAAGGTAAAAAAACGGTTACCAAGTTTTTTTTTAAATAATATAATTCATGTCCGTGAAAACTTAAGAAATAAATACATATTCGATCACCTTTGAGAGGCTTAAATTAGACGTTAAGTAATATACAGATAAACATAAAATCAAGACGAATAAGAGAATCTTGTCTTCTTCGAAAACGCAAGTTATTTAATATAATTAAACAACGAATCTGTGTTCAGGGAAATAATACTTTCATTATCCACTGTCTTTTTGACAACAGTCACATAAAAACTTGCCTTTCATCGCATCGTGAGCCAGCGAAAGTTGGTGGCCAATTACGGCACATTGGGTGGTTTAATTAAAGAGTTGGTTTCCTAGTGCAGCACGCTCGATTGGTCACCCTGATGACCAATAATGGTCTAGTACTGGCATACCATAATACCTTTCCGCGTAAAGGTAACACGGTCGCTTTGTAGGCACTTGATGACCTTTAGCGGAATAAAATGGTAGTTCCTAGGTATAACCAGTTATAGATTTATGTAGGCATTATGGGTGCAGTAGCGCAAGTACATATTCTTGGATTACTGCACTGCACATGCTCTTTATTCGCTTGTATAAAATTATTTAACTCTCATCAACAACAGAGAACATCAACCAACAGTTTGTATAAAGATAATCATACAAGGACGATACAGAGGAGCTCGATGGTGCAAGTGGTTAGCGCGCTAAGGAACTTTCGCAGTGGTCGGTCATTGGATGGGTGACCAAAAATTTACTATCTCGAGTTCCTCCGTGCTTTGGAAGGCACGTGAAGCCGTTGGTCCCGGCTGCAACTGCAGTCGTTAGCACCCGCCAATCCGCACTGAGGCCGCGTGGTGGGTTATGGCCCAATCTCCCTATTCCATCCATGGGGAAGGACTATGCCCCAGCAGTGGGGACATTAATAGGCTGATAATGATGATGATGATACAAGGACAGAAAAATGTTCACATGAATGTCAAAACATAAATCACAGTGAATTTATGTTTTGCCTGAAATATTGGTTCTGTGTAATGATAACAGTAGAATTGTTATGAAAAAAGTGGATCAGTTCGTATTAAACATTCATGTTTTTACTGTTTTTTTCATGTTTGTTTAAATTCAGAAAATCAGTTTAGTATTCATTTTGTGCGATTCCTGCTATTAGTTCTTGATGCATTAGTAAAACCTATTTTAATTTTTATTTATTAATACATAAAGAACATGTTTGCTACTAAATGAAAAAGGCTGGTATTAACTTGTCTGAAAACAATTGTACCAGTCTTTTTCTCTTGTAAAATACACAGTTATAGGGTTGCTAAGATGCAGTTATCGGAATTGTGCAAAAAGAAACTAAAAAATATACTTATTATAGTAATATAAGTAATTTACGGGATTGTTACCATGTTTAGCGTTACTCCGTGATCATGGCACTTGCAACAGTGCCGAAATATCAGAAACTCGCTAAAAACAAGGTACATGGTAACAATCCCGTAAATAACTTATATTGCTACTAGCTGACCCAGCGAACTTCGTACCGCCATAAAAAAAAATTAATTGAAAAAACATTGTCCAGCGGACAAAAATTGTGAATCTAAACCATTCTCAGATCCCCTTGAACACACACAAAAACACACTCACAGAAGAATTATATATATAAAGATAATGTTAGTGACCATAAAAGTTTAAAACAATATAATATACTTATTCTTCTACTGACACATACATGTGCAACATCATAATCTCAATATCTGATGGAGACTAGAGCCCCCTTATTAATAAACAAGGCATAAGCTTAGACAAGTTATGCCATGTTTTGTTCATGTCACTCAAATAGCATTTGTCATTGTCACAAAGACAAATCATGGAGTAACTAATCCTAGCATGGAGATTGGAGAGAAGGAGAACGATCGCTACTTGCTAAAGCTTTAGCCCGCCTGTCCCTGAAAATTTGTAGAATTTATAGTTCATTTTTCAGCCACCAGCCGCGCTGCCGTCGGTAAGTAGTATCTGTGAAGTTAGCTGTTTATGAGTACTAGTAGATGAAGTTAGTTGAATAATGTAGGTCATTTCAAATTAGCGCACAACAGCCCGCTTTTATTGAGACAACTTAACGATCGCAGCGCCTCACTTATTTTATCCATATTTCTGGGACACTATTTTCTACAGCGATCGTTCTGCTTCTCTCTAACCTCCATGAATCCAAGCGTACTCTTCGTTTATTAATAAAGAGGTAGGTGATTAATTTATTCACTTCACTTAAGTAAGAACAATGTAAGCATGATCGTAGTTGTCAAACCAGGTAGCCCTAACAAAGAGTAGACTGGTATACCGCACCACACGTTGCGTATTCAATAATTCATATCACTCCACGTCTTGGAAGTATATAAACCAGGCGTGCCTTTGCAATAACAATGATACGTCAACATAACATGAAAGGAGACACAGTAGTTATACAAAAATAAATCTTATTGCCTATATAATTAAAGTTCAACAAGTCTTAGTGCTTGTATATTTTTTCCGCTGCACTCTTGACTGTTCTCGTTTGTCGACTGATTACAGATCAAATATGATTTATCTACCACTATCACAAATCGTATTTACATATCAGACTGTATTGACATTGATGTATCGACAAACGTCGCAAATAAACAAGTGTTATGATTCAAAGGCTAAAAGATACTGGAAAATCGAGTATGTCATGAAATACTCACGGCCGCCGGCGACTTCTTCCATATTTCCTTTAGTTTTTTGAGAAACCCGCTGGAACCTAACATTTTTCCGGAATAAAAAGAATCCTTTGTCTTTACCAAATTTCATAAATCCATTCAGTTATTGTAGGAGTCGGGTTCGGGGTGGAAAAATTATTTTCAAAATTAAAATTTTCGGTGTCGAGACCCTTGGTCCGTGGGGTCCTAGCGGTGTAAGGCTTTTTAAGGAAATAGGAAAGAGGTTGGTCGACATCACGGGAGACCGAAGAGCTAGCAGCTATCTCGGACAAAGAATTAGTCTAGCTATTCAAAGGGGGAACGCTGCCAGTATTTTTGGAACCTTGCCTCCTTTTAATAATGTATTTTAATTATTATATATTTTAAGGTTTTTAGTTATAAATATCTTACTATTTGTTCTTTAGTTTCAATTAAATGTTAAATGCCTTACAGAAGACGATTGTCTAGTAATAGTATTTTGTGTTCAATCAATTCAGTATATTTGCTTTTTTTAACGCAGGCAAAACCTCTATTTACAGACGACGGCGCCTTTAAGAGGCACACCGCCGAACGGACCTCACACCTGGCTCCCGCAAGCCTTACGAGGCCCCCGCAGTACCTGCCCACTGAGGACCCCGTAACTCTTACGAGCGCTTTACGTCATAAGATCCGCTAAAAAACCCTGCGAATACCCTCTACGCTGCTTAATGCGAAGCCGCGGGCTCCCTGTTTAGGAATTTTTCCGCGCCTAGTATATTTGCCTGACTGAGTGACAAAGACACAAACTTTCGCATTTATAATAATGGCAGGACAAAATGAACTTCTATCAAACTAGGCAAAAATATGCAGATATCCTATTTTTACACCACTTAATAAGTACATGTATGTGCCATTTTTTTTTATAGATAGGTCTGGCAAATGACTCCACCCCACCTGATGTTACGTGAAGGTGAAGTCCAGACGCGAAGATAGCTGATACAGCAGTTCTACCTGCCACACCAGCCATCCTCACCCTGCCAGCCTGCATGTTGCTTCTTCACGGCTCTTTTAAAGGATCCCAGGTTGTAAGAGGGAGGGAACACGTGAGCGGGCAGAGCATTCCATTTACGGATAGTGCGACAATGAAATGAGTCACTAAATTACTTTGTACGCGTTGGAATTGTGGCCACAGTTAGACAGTGACAACGTAGGCCTCTGAAGGAAAGGGGAAGGTGAAATTACAACTTTTTCGGTATAGTAGATTCGACTATGACAGACAGACACACAGACAGACAACCGAAAGATCCTATAAGGCTTACGTTTTTGCCATTTGAGATACACCCATCCCTAAAAACAGCAAACGTATACAAAATGAAATCAAACAAAACGTGACAGTACCAGTAATTACGAATCAATGTGATAATCAAATTTTGACACAGGTCGAGCGCAGTGTTTCATTATTGCATTGCGTTTAGAGCACTTTAAGCTAGCTAGCAAGTACAAGTACTAATAGTTTAGCATCGTGGTCGTGCACAACTGACAAAGCGTTCGTGACTAGCGCTTACGACATACCATGAGGCGCGTACCTTCAGTTTAAAAGTGAAGGTGATTGTGAATACTACCTACGACAACTGGAATAGGTAACAGCTTTAAAGTTCAATTGTGTGTGTATGGCAAACTTATGTACCTATATCTAAACTTTAACACGAGATTTAAGAACAAGCTTGCCGTTCCATGTTTCAGACTCCAAAAATCAAGAGGTACATTTCTGGGTTGTGGTATTGCATTGTTTAATAAAGTTCCCCTAGATCTGATTGAGCTTCCACTGACTAAATTTAAATCTCAGGCCAAAAATA